TTAAAGAGCTTAAAAAAACAAATAATTTATTATATAAAAGAATTTTTGTTCGATTATTAGTAACGGAGAAAATTAAAAAAATTGTAAATTTAAAATTCCCATGTTATTCTTATGGGGAATATTGTCAAATGTTGTAGTTTGCTTGTTAATGGATATATTTTGATCAAACTTGGCAAATTTATTTATTTTGTACTATGCTATCAATATTTTACTCAAAAACACACTTTATTAGTTTCCTTGTAGCAGCAAACCTAGGTACTCGTTAAACCTAAATGTTATTAAAATATATTTAACTGAAAATCAATTCAGACAAATGGAAATTCGCTTAGTCGGCAGGTTTGCTGCGGCGGGGGTTTATTTTTATTTTTTTCTAGAAAGACCAAATAATATACCAAAAGCTCAGTGACCTTTTTATTGTATAATGGTCATAAAAGTAAATTAGTTTATAGCAAAACATAGTTATAAAAATAATATTAACTATTTTTAATATTCATTTAAACGTCTGTTATGGTCGTGACAGGATTTTGTGTTTTTCCACTAAAGATGCTCTTTTTTAAAAAAACTACCAAAGATATTGCGTTACCATGGACATTTTATGAAACTTCAAATGTGTTAATTAAATAAAAAAAATAATAAAAGTTTTGAAAAAAGGGGAAAAAAATTTGCAAAATGCTTTTCCTGAAAACGTACGTTTTTAAATTTTCACTCACCTATCTATATGTTCTAATCTAGGCTATGGCTTAGAACTTGATTAGAAATAAATACATTTTCAAAATTTGGGCAGCAATTTGTTGTTTATGAAAGAGAAAGTCAGACTAGAGCCTTCCTTTGAAAGGTTTCTGTGGTACCGCGGGTACCTATCTCCGAAGATGTCGATACTGACCCCCAGCACCAGTGTGTTTCCAAGACGAATAAATATTGCCAGGGCCAGAGGAGCATGCTGATAATCTTTATTAGTTTATTGACTATAAAGTGCCGCCTGCCGAACAAATCTTGTGAACTGGTTCTAGAAGGCACGAAGGTCCACTTGGGCAAGTGAAGCTGGACAATTAATTTGGCCATTGAGTCGTTCGTGGAGGAAAACAACGTCTACAACATAGCGTCTCAAATGAAGAAATTGCAGCTTTGAATTATTTTGCAGAACGGCCACTGGGACTACACAGACAGTACTGCTGCATGCATGCCTTGACAGACACTGAAAAATCTGAGACATTTCTTCTGGATACCTTCAAGTTTGTTGATGAGCACCAGGTGAAAGCGGTTCCTTCCATCATGGGGGTGGACCAAAACTGGCTGGCATACTCCAAACAGCTGTCCAATAAGGGAACAAAATACAGAGTCTTCAGAGCAATGACAATTTAGTTCACGGGTAGTAGTCCAGGCAATGAATGCTAAAAAAAGGGTATAGAGGGAAATGTTTGGAACACAATTTCTGACTTCGTAACTTTGTTTAGTATAGTTAGGAGGTTAACATGCCAAAAGTCCCCGCCTCTAGCCCTTGTGCTGTGGGGGAGGGGGGGGCTTTAAGGTACCATTTTTCGGTTTTTTGCTGATATCTCGGAAACCATGCGTCCAAGCGAAATTATGCTAATATACAAAATGAAAGCTTATTAAATTTCCAGCAAGTTTGTAATTTACTATTTTTCGATACCTTGTATGGTTTTCGCGTTATTTGCTATCAAAAGTTTGTAAATTTAGAAAAATACATTTTTCCCTCATGTTTTTTGTTCTTTTTGACAAGTTGCCTCTTAAACTATGCACCCAAAAAATAAATGCCTGGCATAGGGTTGTAGAAAATTAATTTCCCTTCAATAATATATATGACTTTACCAGTTTACCTCCTTCCGTTCAGATTTTAAAGCAAATTAACCGTCAGTATAAAAAAAATTTAATTTAATTAAAATTTAAGAAAATTAAAATCTAGTGTTGAGCAAGGAATTTGAAGTCTTGCAACAGCTGTTGACTACTTAATATTTCAATTTATCACCTTACACAGTCAACTAATTGGTTGGAACATTAACTATCAAGTAGCTAAGGTGAGTGATGGGCGTCTAAAAATAGCACAGATACCCTATATTTACTAATACCAGGTTCGAAACCCGTCTGGGCCAAAAACTTTTTTCTCGTTTTTTTCTTCAAAATTTGTGTTTATTAACTATTTAATCAATTTACTAAACTTATAATTAAGCTTTTCATACTAAATCTATATTATTTTGTGTTTTTTATGTTCAGGCCCAGACCACACTTTATCCCAGGGACATCCCATAGTAGTCCCATATGTCCTGAGAATGTCCTGAGGACTACCCTGGGATGACCTCGGATGTCCCACGGATATGCGTGTGAGCTTATCCGTAGGACATCCCCGGGCGGGGACATTACGAATTCCTGTGGGTATCCTGGGATATCCCAGGTTGACCATAGGACTACTATGGGATATCTTGCATATCCTATCGCAATATCCGTGGGATGTCCTGAGGAGAAAGTGTGCTGTCTGGGTGTGTGTGGACCGATATACTTAAAACAAATCCTAACATCGTCCGCAAACAAAGGTCCTCCACATCAAGCATTTCCACGATGGCATTATGAAGGCTATAAAGAGGTGAGGAGCCAAAGAGCCCTGGTGCAGGGCCGCCTTTAATTACAGGCCGCGGCATTCGAACTGGCAACGTCGCAAGTGGTGTTGTAACAGCTGATTTTTTCGGAAGCAACTAATGGTATTTGTGTATTTACGAAAGATTGATTAATGGACTATGACAATATTAACTCTGCTTACAAATGTACAGATATATATTTTAATTCATATTGTTTCAATTTTCAATTCGGTATGTTTTATTTTCAATATTTTAATAAATTTATGTTCATAAATTAAAAATTAAATCAATAAAGTGCGAATTAATGAGCTGATGTCACCTGTCTGCCATGTTATCTTATGGGACGTCTGTCACTGAACAACACCACTTGCGATGTTGCCAATTCTACCAGGCCGCGGCCTGTAGTTAAAGGCGGCCGTGCCTGGTGACGCCTGAGAGTTGGATAAATTCATTGGAGTTGCCAGCAAAGGGACACTTTTCCACTCAAGCACCACCCCCTCCCCCCCGGTAAGATAGTCTTCCGCCCACTTGAGGATAAATAAACCAAGGGTGTTTAGTAGGTCTTTGCAACAAAAATGACATTCTTCAGATAGTTATAACTTAAACCTATATTTTATTAGGAGGCTATGTAATTCCATAGGCATAGCCAAAACATACTTCTACGTTTTGCAACAAATTGAAAAACTCCAATGTAAATGCAACTTCAGACGTCAAAGCTTCATGAACTACATCCAAGTCTTGATCCAAGTCAGCATTGAAAGGGTAATCAATGGAAATTGGAAAACTTAGAAAAAAGTTTTCTTTGTATACTCTCTTCACTCCTCCCCATCCTACTCCAAAAAAGCTAACCCACTAACCTAATAAAATCCAAATTCCAAATCCAATCCAAATCAAATCCAAATCAGTGAAGAGTGAAGTGAACTGAAGTGATCTCGATCTGTGACTGTGGCTTTTTTTACAGTTTTGTTTTGGAGTTTCGATGTTTCGTTTCCTGCCTGATTGCAGTGTTTCCATTTGAGGGATAAAAATCCCTTTCTAGGGATATTTAGGGCCTTTGAGGGATTGAAAAGGGATTGAGGGATAACTAGGGATAATCAGCGAAATTGAAGGATTTTTGAGATTTTCTGGGGATTTCAGGCCTTTGACATTATAAAATTGAAATATTGATAAAATAATACATTATGGCTGTATTTCAACAACGTTAAGGACCTATTTTGGCTAACTTTGCAAGGTATTGATAACAAAGTGATTATACTACTTTTTCCCTAGGTTTTTTCCCTCAAGGAGGATGTTTTATCTATGGTTGTAGGTAGTGGTAGTGACGTAGTGTTTCAAAGTCGGAACACTCAAGAAGGGGAAGAGTAACAGTAACAGCCAACACTGCACGAAACAAGCGAAGTTGGAGTTGGTCGGTGGAATGGAATATGGCGGATCTAGATTACTGTATTTGTTTATTAGTAGCCCTGTGCCCTGTGTTAATGTCGAATGTTTGTTTTCGTTTTGATTTTATTTGCCGGTGATTTCTGTGATGTTCTTTGGTTAGTAAGTGAACTTGGTCTAACCTTTTCACCAAGGCATGGTGGCCATGTTTGAAAAAGACTATTAAGTTTTTTGGACACTTGAGTAATATTTTTGAAACAATTGTAAATGCTTATAAATGAAAATTATTAGTTTATAGAATTTTAAAAATAACTATTTGTTTCATTTTTTAGTTAATTAATCTTGTTTTGTACCACATAGACAGTTTTTAATCACGGCTACCTTTAATTCCAGGCCGGAGGCCGCGGCCTTCGAAGTGGCAACGTTGCAAGTATAGGTAGTGTTGTAGAAGGTGTTTGTTTCGAGAACGCTAAGCTAATGATATTTATGAATTTTTTTAAGAATACGAAAGCTTGGTTACTGAGCCATGAAAATGTTGACTCCACATTGAATGTACAGAAATAGATTTTCAAATTATATTGTTTTGGTTTTCGATTCTATATGTTTTATTCCCATGTTAACTTATGGGACATCTGGCGCTAAACAATACTACGGTACTTGCAGCGTTGCCAATTCCACCAGGCCGCAGCCTGCCATGAGTTAAAGATGGCCGTGGTTTTAATGGTACAAAAATGTTTTTTATATAGTATTAATTTATAAATAATATGGGATATTGAAGAATAATATCACCAGTTACCATATTTTAGGTGGCTATACATGATATCCATTGGTATTGCTGCAACAATAATAAGTTATCTAGATATGATATAGAGGGATAATTGGAGGGATTATTAGAACACGGACTAGGGATAACTAGGGATTTTTTGACGTTGGCCCAGGGATATTTTTTTCTTGCGGATGGAAACACTGCCTGATTGACACTTATATGAACGATACGATACTGCTCTCTCCTTCGTCCTTACACAAAAGAGAACTAACACCATTAAGTAATTTAGGAGAGACTGCCTGTTGCCTATTTGTCTAATTATTATTGTTTGTGCTACGGCTACGGAACGGAGAATTAAAGTCTTATCTAGTTATTCTGCTTTACATAGGCCTAGTTCAGTTCATTTATGTTCTTTAAAGGTAAGTAGGCCTAAAAAGATATTCAACTTTTTTGACGCTTACGATACATTTCATGGTTAGGGTATGTTTACGCGTTTCAATATGGTATTGTTTCAAACTCAAGCAATTAGGTCTACATATTTCTTCTGATTGTTTCTGACACCAACGTAATTGCGTACAATTTTCGTGGGAAAGTGTTTTATAGGCCTACTTTTAACTCAGAGTTTGTCTAGAAAGCCTTAGAGGCCTAGGCCTTGGCCTTAAGTTAGGTATAGAGCATGGAACCGTTTAAATTAATGGTTGAAAGGGGTACACTTCTATATCTGTTGGCACAAACAACCGAATGAGTAATATTGCTTATTTGATTGTTTAATTCGATATAGCCTATCGTTTGGTTAGTTAGGAAAGGTTAACCTAACCTAACCAACCAAGCGATAGGCCTATATCGAATAATTGATACATCGATCGATATTTCATCTGGTTGTTTAAGTTCCAACAGATTTGGAAGTGTACCCATTTAAAGTTATGTTAGGGTGAATCTGATTTTATATTTTGCGCTTTTGATTTTGGCTTCCAATCTTGATTATATTATTGAATGTGAAGCATTGGCGTAGCCAGGATTTTGTTTGGGGGGGGGGGGGGGGAAACCAGGAGATTCAAGAGATTTAGGCTATTAATTGTACTTAGGTACCGGTACCATTAAGTAATAAAATAGAAGAGGTAGGCGTAATTATTTTGTATTCCTAAAGTAGGTCAAGTATAATATAAAAATTTTACTTATATAAAATTAATTATATAAGTATATATAAGTATAATATACAGTGTAGAAGCTATATACCTTAGCCTAGGCCTATATAACCAATAAAGTTTTCTTTATAGTTTTACCAACTATTTTTAGATTGGTTATACTACACCAATAAATTTCTTTATGTCCTTCCATAAAGTATTTTTCTAGACCGAGATGTTTTTCAAGTTAAGAAAAAAATAATGCAGCCATTAAAAATTCTAACTAGCTAAGTAATTTAGGTTTGTACCCTTTCTAAACACATACAAATAACTACCGTATCAAAGGCGTATTTTAGAAAAAAAATTATAATTGTAACTAGAGGTGTGCCAGCCCGAGATTTTCGATCAAGGCATAAATTACTCGAAGTAATATCGTGATTATCTCTCGCTGTTGTGGATACATCATCGCCATCTTCTGGAATTACAGCAAAATCCTAAATAAGTATCTCTTGAAAATTAACTTACCATGGCAAAAGCGGTAATTTTCTTTCGCCCGATTATTGCAAAAGTGTCTGATATAAGTTAGTTGTCGGAATCCTTTTTTTACGATCGATTCTTGATACCGATACCAAGGTCGTAGTATCCAAGTAGGCCTATATGGTACAGTATTGAGCATTGGTATCAAGAATCAACACATCCCTAATAAAAATATACCGGTAGGTATACTGTATAACTTTGGAAGCGGCCATCTCGGGCCTCCTCCCTGAATAGGTACGCCTTTTGTGAAGTAAGTAGTGGATAAAAATGAACATTTAATCTGTCACACATTTTAAATACCTACACCTCCTCGAAGTGTAAGTAATATCTTATTAATTTGCTTAATCTAGACAACTGATGCCTAATGATCTGATATCTGATCTAGATGATCTTTACCTGTTACTTATTGACAAACCATTTGCAAATTTTAAAACTGGAAAACTACACATCTCAAAGCTTTCATCAATCCCAAACCTTACATCTATTGGTTAATGTAACTCAGCAGACCTTACTGGTATAGTGGCTGTGCAGTATTCACCTAGGCCTAAGTTAGTTAGACTCATGTTACAAAAGATTACTAGAGTTATTATTACAGCTAAATGGAGCCTTGACACCTTTATTTAGCCTACAGTTATTGTTAAAAAGGGTATTACATTTTAACTAGCCTACTTTAGTCAAACTTACTTTTGCTCTATGTAAGCTAGGCCTAGGCCTAACTGTTACAAACTTGTAACAGTTCATCATTAACATTGTAGATGAGTTTATGATAATTTAAACGGTAAGATACATTGTTTAATGTTTACCAAAACATAATAGCCTTAACAAAATACGGTGATACAAATAATTGGCTTATGTGTCTGCTCTGTGTAATTCCAACAAACATAGAACATGCCATTCACTAATAATGTGTAAATGCTGCTGATGATGATAAACTGTAACAAGTTGGTACTGGAGGCCTTTAATAAACAACCAATGGGCTGACACCATACGTCCTCTGTAATTTGTTAATCAAATCAATAAAAAAAAGGTTTGGTTGTGTTGCTAGTCTAGTGGTTAGCGTCTCGGACTTTGGTGCAGGAGAGACGGGTTCAATCCCCGGCACATCCACTAAACATTTATCTCTCGTAACTCTCTCGTGAAATGCCACTGGCGTTGAAAGAGAAAAAAATCAACAAAGGTGTAAACATAAACATTGAGCAGATGCTCCATTATAAATGCTGTTTTGGTTTGCCGTTACAGCGTTGTTGCCTTTTACGTCTTGTAGCTGCCTTGAAGAGGCTTTGGTAAAACATTTATCACGTAGATCTCTATTTAATACTATAACTGCCTTCTGGTTAGGCCTGTCCATGACTTTAATAAATGAAATGAAATTCTATAAGAAATTAAAGAAATAGTTAATTCGTAATCATAACCAATTTGATTTTAGCGAATTTCCCCTATAGGGAATTGAATAAGCTATTACTGTAGTACTCATGGTAAGACCTGGACCCGGGACCGATTTACTTTTTTGTTTTGAGTTCCCTAAAGGTCTCGATCCTGTGACGGCGGGAAAAATAGTGAAATTCCCTAAATTTTAACACAAAATTGGATTTAACGTAAAATGTTCTCCATAAGAAATGCATTAGAAGCCATGCATTAGATGCATTAGAGGCCGCCAACCTCTTTAAAAAAAAAAAAAAAATTACTGCTGATTTTTGTTTACTTCAATACAGCTGATCGTGATTAATCTTCAAACCAGTAAGCAATATTACATTTGGATTACTCATTTGCCAGTCAATTCTGCAATGTACTGTAGCCTGTACGATATAAAACCAGGAATAACTTTAGGCCTACCTATAATAATAAATACTTTTTAGTTACGTCTTAAAATGTTGACATTAATTATTTTACTGTACAATTGGGATTATTTACTGTACTCAAATCAAATGAATTAAACTTAGAATGGCTGAAAAAAATTATAAAGTTTTTATCTTCTAACTTAACGGTTATTGTTGTGTTGAAGGAATGTTCAACATGAAATAACTACATTGACTAAATAATAATCGATTCAAGATTGTTGAAAACTTCTGCTTTGTTTTGATTTCAAAACATTTGTTAACGATTTATTCTACACTTTTTTGTATACTTACTAACATTTTTAATTTGAGGTTTATTGTAGTGTTTACAAAAGGAGCATACACTTAGAAATAATAACTGGGTCGGGATGCTAATTTAGCGGTTTTAACTAAGAACTAAGCTATCTCATCACACCTTTATTTGCCTTTTCATATATGAAGAAGACAATTTCCAATACTTTTATCAGGAAAGCCTTTTTATTATCAAAAGACCAAAGCTACATTAGTAAACTAATATTTATTCACAAACAAGTTTGCTGCCTTAGCAGAGTTAAACCTTTGGAGTAATTTAAATTATTTATTAAAAATTACATCAACAAAAGCAAACAAAGACAAATAACAAACTATTTTTTACACAAAAGATATGTTACTGGGATTTATATCTGATATATGTATTAGATTTATTATTTAAGTTTGTTTATACTGTATTACAATAGTTTTTTTTACATTTGAGCTTTTCAGGGACTTATGTCCCTTCAAGCCACTATATTTATATATGTGTCCTTTAGCGCGATAACTCGAGTAAAAACCATCCGATTTTGATGAAATTTGTTACAAACGTGTAAACCTACGTTAATTCGAACGAGTTCGCCAGCCAGCATGATCGGACTGTGGGAACAGTGGTCTATAGGGCGTTTTTTGGGGTAAAAATTGGGTTTTCTCATTTTTTACCCTAAAAACTTATAATTTATTAATTTCTTTCCAAACAATTTTGTAGCGCTTATTAAAATAGATAATTTAATATATTGAAGCGTTATTATGCTCCTAATGGTTATGAAGAAAATTCCAAAAAACTGTAAATTTAAAATTCCCATGTTATTCTTAAGGAGAATAAATAAACTGTTGTTGTTTGCTTGTTTATGAACATATTTTGATCAAATTTGGAAAATGCATTCATTTCATACAGTACTAAACTATTAACATTTTACAAAAAAAAACCTTTTTACCCTCCCTATTGCAGCAAACCTAAGTACTCATTAACTAATGCTATTTAAATAGGGAATAAATGTGATATTTTTAAGTAGACATTTTAGTGTAAATCCAATCAGGCAAATGGAAATTCGCTTAGTCTGCAGGTTTGCTGCGGTGGGGGTATTAAACAAATTATATAGGAAAACCGTTAATTTTCCATTGATTGTTATATTTTTTTCCAGGTCTGGTTTTGAAAAATGGATGATTCTGAGTGTGGTTCAATAGTTGAATTGGCTAAAAGTAACTCAGATAGCGGGATTGACGGTTTCCTCTCCGATGGTAGCACTTCATCAAGCAAGTCTGATCGCCTTACTGAGACTTGTAATTTAGATAAGAATTCTCATGGCAAACAGTGTACTTCATCAATTAAGTCTGACCGCCTTGCTCAGACTTGCATTTTTGAGAAGAATTCTCATGGCAAACAGTCAAAACAGTTGTCTAAGCCCCACCATTGCTCCCTGAGTCATTACAGCATATCTGGAAGATGTATCGAAACACTTAGCCCAAAAACCTTTCGCTACCTTTCAAGTTGTGTGAGAGTACTCGATTTAAGTAATAACAAAATCAAAACCTTACCAGAAACCGTAAGCGAACTACAAAATCTCCAAGAGATAAATTTGTCTTGCAATCAATTGGTCAATTTGCCCGATTCATTTGCAAAACTTCAAAAGTTGCAAACCCTGAATCTGTCTGAAAACATAATTTGTGAGCCTCCTCGATGTTTAGAGTTTGGTCTTGAACGATTAACCCACTTAGACTTGTCAAAAAATGGCATAACTAAGTTTCCTAAATCACCCAAATGTTCTCCACTACTTCAGTGTTTGAACTTGAGCCATAACGACATAAACTTATTGCCTTTGTGGCTACTTAGCGAAGAGTGCCGTGCCATAGAGGAGTTGGATGTCTCTTTCAATTTCTGCTTCGACGATCCCGCTTTGGAAAGAAGATTACCACTGTTAAAACACCATCGCACGTCTGCACTCAAGAGTCTGAAGAAACTTTTGATAAACAACACTGGAAGCAAACCAGTCCATTTGTTTGCTCTAAATAGTTTTGAATCTTTACAACACGTGCATCTAGGAAATCTCCCAGGCTCCAAGGAGTCAGAAAACTACATTACAGACTTGGATTTGAAATTGTTTTACGATCCCAATAACATCCTAGAACTTCATCTGCCGACAGTAGGACTAGCCTTATTACCTGAGAACATTGACAGATTCAAGAACCTACAAGTGTTGGATGCTTCATACAACAAGCTGGATTGGCTTCCAGACAAAATAGTAACATTGAAGTTCCTTAGAGAGTTAATACTTTCAGACTGCAGCCTATCACACCTTCCATCTAACTTCAACGAACTGAAAAGTTTGGAGAAGCTAGTTCTTGACCGTAACCAGGTGAGGTGTATTTTTTTAGATTTTTTATCTTGTTTTACGTTAATTTAAACTGCCTATCAGTTGGCCTAAGCTGAATTCTTTTCACATTGTACAATTTTGCATGTCTGTTCTTGTAAGTATAAAATTTAAGATAATTGAATATTAAATGTTAAGTTTTCAGGAGTGATTTGGTTGCTTTTTGACTGCTGTACTTTGGAAATAGCCCAGATCATAGTTTAGCTTCGAGTAAAGTTGTGTTTTACTTATATTTTTCAGCTCACAGATGTTGAGAAGTGTCTTGATGAGTTGCCTAGGCTGGCGTATGTAGATTTGTATGACAACCTTCTGGAGAGTCTTCCTATCTCGCCTGATTGTTTGCCAAACATTCAAATGGTGGACTTTGCTTTCAATTTTGTTAACCTAGAAGAAGCATTGGATAAAGTAAGTACATGCTAGTACTGTATAAGACAATGAGGCTAATAGCCTTGTGCCAAAATGTTTGTACAATACTACTGATTTAGTTTTTCCAGCATTTGAATAAAGTTACAAGATTATTTAATAATGAAAATACCTTTGTTTAGTAACCATTACAGTAGAACCCCTAATTTCCGACCTTGGCATAACCGACTCCTCAGAATATCCGACCTAGTGTTTCACTGTCTACTTGCCGCATGTCCACTTGGGGTTGCCATAGAACTCTTGTGAAAAAAATTTAAACATTTTTTCTGGTTTTCCCAGCAGCAACATCTGGGGTTTCCTATTGATTCATGGTCACCAAGTACACTTTTTACAAGGGGTCAGGGAGTCTCTGTTATTTTTAGGTCAGATTGGGAAAAAAGTCGTAACAAGAGATCTATTTTGGCCGAATATGATTATCGGGCAAAGCTTGCATTGAGTCAATCTCAGCCAAGCGTTTATTTCAGCAATCGTGGGTAGTGTTTGCAAAGATGCTTGATTGAAAATTAAAGTTTTTGTCGCTATAGTGGGTGATCTTCACGGTCGTGCCGCAATTGTGGAAGGCGACAATGTCGCTGTTACCGCAAAAGATATTTATGATTTTAATTAGACCGCAAAATATTCTCTCGATTTTGCCATGACTGCAGGCAATGTTCACGATTTTGCTGTCATCGTGAAAAGTGTTCTTGATTTTACCGTGACCATGAGGTATGTTCTCGATTTAAACGAGACCGCAAGAAATGATCTTGATTTTGCCGTCACCATGGAAGGGATTCACAAATTTATTGTGATGCTGGACCCTATGTTCACAATGTCGCGTGACTACAGAAGTTTTTTTTCGTATTTGCTGTGACTGCAAAAGACATCTAAATTTAGAGGCAAGCATACTCGAAGCTGCAATTAAAAAAAATAATAATAGCCTCAAACAAATACAATGTACAATGTAGCAAGTTTTAGAGAATGATTATTTGTAGAAATTAATAGTATATCTAATTTATTAAACAGCTTAAAGTTTTATATGTCATAAATCTTGAAAAAAATAAATGGCTCTCATTTTCAGGATGTTAATGGAGAGAATCTTTTTAACATTTACTGTCATCAACAAGAGAGATTAAGGTCATCATCTGCTTCCAAACAGAAGAGATACAGTGAAAGGAAAATCCAAAACATTGCGGCCAGTTTTGAGAGTTTAGGTGAGTGAGTTGTGGTATTAGATACATTAGTTAACTTTGCCCAGTTCTTTTTCTTCTCAGAAACCATTTTAGTTGAAAGTCCAACATATTGTGCAGGTGACTGCACTTCTTACTACAAGCTAATCAGCTTTGCATGCAATTTATTGATAGTTCAGCAATAGTGCCGGCACAAAATTGTACAAAAACAAATTTAGCTAATATTTATGCTACAGAATTGTTATTCAAAATTTCAAGTTGATAAAAAATGTGTTGAAATATCACAGCTATATTCCATGAGTCTGTAATCTTTTAATATTATGCTTTGTATTAAAAGTATTAGGTTTCATTCATAGATCTTGCAGCTTTTAAACAAATTTAAATTCAGTAAAAGTATTATTTTGTTCATTAGTGTGCTGACGATTAGAATATGCATCAGTGGTATGGTATCCTCATCAGCTCTATCTTGTAGATGTGATTGAGGCAATTAAAAAAAGATTTTTAAGATTTATGTACGGTATTTTAAAACATTTGGTCACTATACATTTAACATTCCATACCACCAGCTCTTGACCATGTTTGATATGACTAGTCTCAGTGACAGAAGGAAGTTGGCCGCCTTATCTTATCTCCATAAACTGGTGAGGGTAGTTCTGGACGATTGTGACTTGCTGGGACAACTAAATTTTCATGTTCCACGACACAACTCACGCAGCACTCTTGTATTTACCTCGTTACTCTCGTACCAATCTTGGATTCAATTCCCCACCAAATCTAATGTCTCACACTTTTAACGCCTATCAGTTTGATATATTTAACTTGTCACAAAAAATGTGAAATGTCTGTTTTTCATATTCATTCTGTCATTCTTATTTATATTTTATGTTCTTATATTTATATTTTGAGAAAAACTGTTGAGTATGACTGCCACCATAGAAGACGGACATTTTTCCCTTGTTGTATTTATTTCTATATTGTAACACTCTGTTAACATTCTTTCTGCATGATTAATGCAACAAAGTAATTGGCATGTGCTGTTTTGTAGCATTGGAAAATAAAGTAAAATAAATATTTTTACAATTGTTTTAACTATTTTTAGAAAAGGTTTAAATACCTGCTATTAAGCAATCCAATTTTGTTGTTAGAACAACTAGTTTCGGTGTCTGTGTGACACCATCATCAAGCTGCACAAGGACAGTTTTCTTTCTTCATACGAAGAGCGTCATATTTACACGAAAATAAATAAACATCTAAAAACGACACAAACACGAATACGAGACATTTATGGTAACTGATCAGTTAAGAAAACAGACGACGCTAACCCGGTGGAGTTTGAGTCCAGACTAGTTTGGGGGCAGTCTGGACTCAAACTCCACCGGGTTAGCGTCGTCTGTTTTCTTAACTGATCAGTTACCATAAATGTCTCGTATTCGTGTTTGTGTCGTTTTTAGATGTTTATTTATTTTCGTGTAAATATGACGCTCTTCGTATGAAGAAAGAAAACTGTCCTTGTGCAGCCTGATGATGGTGTCACACAGACACCGAAACTAGTTGTTCTAACAACAAAATTGGATTGCTTAATAGCAGGTATTTAAACCTTTTCTAATATTATTTGGCAATCCGGAGGCTAACAACTACAATGTAACTATTTTTGAGCTGTTCAACCTTTCTGCTTGCATATAAATTTCTGGGGACAGTTTTTGTTGTAAGGTTGAGACTGCAATGATAACTTCAGTTAAAAATTAGAAGCAGATGGTCATTTAGGACCAATTGACAATATTAAACTAGGCCTATGTGTTTTTGCACAAATTTTACCTAGGAAGAATTTATGAATGGGGCTCAGGATTTCCTAAACTTATACAAGCTCTAGCATTAAATAGCTATTCCATTATTTTTTTATTGACTTCTTAAGTATTGTTCACATAGTTTTACATGTTTGTATCATTTATATGTTTTAGAGTCTGAATTTCGTCATTATACGAGTGAATCGGAGAGTGATGCTGGCATCCCAGATGAAATCTTCTTAGGGGAACCTTGCAACAACGGGTATGTGTAAGATGTGTACAACCATAGATATATTTGAATATTTTAATTTTAAATGGGTAAATTTCTTTACCGATTCTCAACACCACTAATTCCTAAAACCTCTTGAGACATTATTGCCATCCAGTTAATAAAACATGTTAATAAAACCAGTTCAGTTCCAATCATAGCTATACTACTGTAATGGCTACTCACTCAGATTATTATTTTAGATTTTAACGTACTCTGTGTAAAACATTAAAACTATTTTAATGACAAGGCTTTAGTGTGTGCATTACAGTTGACATTTGATTTTTAGGTAAATTTTCTAGCCCGGGATTGTTTTTCACATTACTTAAGGCTAGACCTAGGAGTTGCAGCAATCTCACTTAAATAAAATCCATTGGAGATTTAGTGGGATCTAAACCCGGGACCGAAGTCCCGCGCTCTAACGACTAGATCAACTTGCTCTCCCCTAAAAGAATAAGAATAAGAATCTTTATTACCCTTCAAACATTTTACAGTGCAATAGGGTTCGTCATTTGCTACATAATATTAAAATGTAATTAAATATTTCACACAAAATAGTAACAAAGATAATTTTATCAAATTATAATTAACTAGGTACATTGAAATTGCTGGGTTACAAAAAAATATCTTATTACTGAGCACCATAGAAAAATACAGTTTTTGTGAGAATAATGGAAATACTGTTCAAATGTAGAGTCAAGAGAGCTATTAGAAATACAATCTTTACAACCAGGCATATTTTTAGCATGCGCAACGTCAACCAATTGTCTACAAACTCTGTGGAACATGTCTAGAATGTGAAATTGTACAACAGCGAAGTTTAAAAAAAATTGTTGAAGCTTCATAATACAGTTTTATAACATTTCATTGTCTTTTTCAGGATGAATGTAGATGAAAATTGGGATTTGGACAGCTGTGATGAATCAGATTACTTTGATTGCGCAAGTAAGTTTCAAGTGTTTTTATTAGTAAAAACAATGAATATAATTTGCCCTACATTGAATACTAAATTGTTAAAACATTCTTTAACTTTGATCGTTAGGAGTTGGAACTCTGAATCACAAGTTGTCTCTTTTTAAACCTATAACCTTATTTATTTAAACCTAATATTTTTTTCTAAAACAATAATATTTATTTGAACACTGCAACTTGAAGTATGAATTGTGAATAAATGTATACTAGCGAATTTCCTATAAAGAGAAAAAACTATTACCGCAGGTCTTATGTTAAGATCTAGACATGGGGCCGATTTACTTTTTTGTTTTGATGTTCCTAGAGGCCAAAAAAGCCATCCGTTTGAATTCACAATAGGCCTATATATGCGTCCGGTTAGTACGAAAACTCAAAGAAAAACAATCATATTTTATGAAATTTGGTACAAATGTAAATGTGTAAACCTAGGTTTATTTCAACGAGTTTGCGAACCAGCATGATTGGACCATGGGAACAAGGTTTTTTTAATAAGGGTTTTCTCATTTTTTAATCAAAATATATAATTTCCTGATTTCTCACCAAACCATTTTGTAGAGCTTAACAAACAAATAATTTAGTGTATTAAAGTGTTTTTACAGTTATTTTTTACAAAAAATAAATAAATAAGATTAAAAATTCCAACGTTAACCTTATAGAGAATAAGTAAAATTGTTGTAGTTTGCTTGTTTATCTATATATTGTCATCAAATTTTGTAGATTAGATTTATTTATTTCATACTTAGCTATTGTCATTTTACTAAAACATAATACTTTATTACCCTCCCTGTAGCAGCAAACATAGGTACTCATTAAACATAAAATTTTTCAAATAGGGAATTTTATCTTTTTAAGGAAATATTTAAGTGAAAATCAAATCAGGCAAATAGAAATTCGCTTAGTCAGCAGCTTTGCCGTGGCAGGGGGTATTGTTGAAAATTGAACAGCCATATTCAATTAAGATGAAAATCTACTTACGCATGCCAGAAGGTGTCAAATGTAGTCGTCTTTATGATGTACTTGTTTTGAGCTTGTTACAGTCCATCTTTAGCAGCATTCATATATTTACAATAAACCACATCGAGCGATGTTTGTTGAGCATTTCCAAACACTTTCATACACACAGAAATAAACATCACGCATATCGTTTTGCCGGTATTTTCAAATTTTTTTGTACACATGGAGAGTTTTTCACACCAAAACCGGATGACATTCTTTGGCCTGAGGAAGACAGAATTGAAAAATATTGAAATTTTTAATTTTTTTACTTCACAATATAGTTTAGAGTGCAAGTTAAATAACTTTGATGGTGACTATTTTTGGTAGGTGTGCCCAGGTACAGCCTGCCCCTAGGGTACATCTTTGGGTGGACTCCCCCAGTCAAGCCGAAGGATTGCCAGGTACCCATTAATCAGCAGGCGTCTGGCTTCCTGTTCATTCCTGGACAGCTGCATCAGAGGACCACGGTGAGGAAGCGTCGTCGGGAGGACCTCCCAGTGGTCGATGGCCAGTTTGATGATGCTTGTGTAAGTATCTAGATTTGTGTTGATGTGTGCTCAGTGAAGTGAGCTTAAGTTTAAAATATGGTAGCGCTGAAAATAATAAAAGTGCGGAAAATTGAAATTGAGCGATTAAAAGTAAAAAAAAAAATGTTGGAACCCGCTATTTTGTTTGTTACAACCAGTATTGTATTGTTTTGTTGTGGGGAGCAAGCTGACGTAGTGGTTAGAGCGCGGGACATCAGTCCCTGAGGTCCCAGGTTTGATCCCCGCCACCAATGGATTTTATCTAAGTGATAATGCCGCAACCTCTAGGTCTAGCCTGAAGTAATGTGAAAAACAATCCCAGGCTTGTACCTAGCGTCCTAGGACAACAACAACAAAATATTGTATTGTAATAACCATTTTTTTTTTATAAATACATGAAACAAATATTTCTTCGTAATTAAAAAATAGAAATGGACAATTTTTCTCTCTCAAGAAACATAAATTAAACTCCCACTCAATCAAACTCCGGGGGACCAATAACCAATGATGGATTTACCCATCCCTCCAAGAATACAACCTGACTTGGTGTTCTAGTCTAGAAAGTGTCTTGCTCCAAGGAGAAGTGAGGGAATCACTGTTGGAAGCTGTTAAGTAAAGTGCTTCCTAGCACTGTGGTATCTTTATGTGTGTATCCAAGAATGACCTCTGTATTTTGAACTAATAACCCCAAGTCATTTACAGCTTTACATCATACTGTATAGAATACTGACATTTTGATGTTTGCAAATTATTTTTCCTACAGTCACCCGACAAAGTTGGCTTCCTTGTACTGTTTATAGTACAGAAAGCTGCTAATTGCTGCATATTTATACTTTGCCGTACGGTTTATACTTTGCCGTACGGTTTATACTTTGCCGCACATCAGGATTCCAACGAAACAACACAAAAAAGCGTGGTTCTATTATGCACGTAATCCGTGTACGCTTGTAAATAGGTTGGCAACACTTAAAGATAATAATACTATGAGCAGCTGATTGACTATTATAATTACGATTTAACCTGTCATTTCGTGTTTATAGTTTCGGTGTTTCTGAACTTTCTGGACTTTTCTTTTAAACGTTTTTAAAACATTCCTACGATCTTAATAAACAAGAAAATACCTTTAAAGCATTTTTTTAGGCGCGGAAACCACTTCAAATTTCAAAAACATACGGAACTATATTCTCAAACGCGGAGCACATTTCTTCGAGGAAATATAGCGGAGTGATACGGACCGCGGGTACTACTTTCTCTAGTAGGGCACCATTTGTGTTGCCAGCTGAACCTAAAAACGTGTTGTATAGTGTTTGAAAGACTAATTATTTATATGCTTTATAGTGACTGTAGGAAAAATATAATGTGTAACACGAGTGAAAAAGGCCTTTGCTGCACTCGAGATCATTCCGCACTCGCCTGCGTCTCGTGCGTAAACATTGCTCTCGTGTGCAGCAAAGTGCCACTTTCACCACTAGTTACACAAATAACTATTTCATTGCAAATGGATTCATCAATTTCATTGCACATTTTATCCATTTTACTGTAGCCTACTCCTAAGTACCAATATTTTTTTTCTTTCAAAATTCAGGATGATCAATAGATACTATAGATAAAGGGTATAATAGTAGAGTAAATATATTTTTAACTAAAAGTAAAACAAAAATTATGTCTCAAATGGAAGATTGTGGACTTTCTGGATTAACTTGATTTTTGTGTTTAATATGGGTTAAAGGGATCTTCCGGCCAAGGGGTCATAGACTGTTGTTTTTGTACAAATGTTACAAAAACTGACCCTTCATAGATCCTATTACCTTTTTAATGTTCCAAATGTTTACCTTATTTTCCTACTAGGTGGATACATATGCGGGTTTACAGAGCGGCAAAACATTGATTGGTAAGTATTTTTTGGTTATTGGGCTGCAGGTGCTTTTCCATGCTTTGCCATGTTTAAATGAAAATCACTCATTTAAACAATCCTGATTCCACTTCCTAATCACACAAAACTGTAATTAGAATCGTAATCTTCTGCATCTTAACAATACAATTTTACTGTTATGAGTTTTGCTGTTTACATTGTAAGTCACTAACAAATAGTAGCTAGAGAGGGTCGTAGCTGTAGAAATCATTATTGTAGAATTTTTAGTTTTTTATTAGGCCTACATGATTGCAGAATGTTGTTAGGTGGGCTGAATGATAACGAGCACTAGAAGTTTTCCCTCCTAGTGATGAAAACTACTTAAATTATTATTTGATAGTTTTTAAGACATGCTGTTGTCACCAATTATGCTATCTAGTTTTGCCTACATTTTACCAACTAATCAAACCAATGAGTTATTGGAAGCTGAAAATGCATCTCTGTACCAGAGAGCAAATCACTTGCTAGAACCAGACGTCTAACAAAAACACTCATTGGTGTGATTTATATGGCAGTGGATGTAGCATGAACAAGCGGTGGGAGTAACTATGGTATTTTATGGGTAAAATCACAAAAGCTTAATAACTTTTGAACCGTAATATTTTTACAGCAGTGGGGGTTGTAGGACAATAAAAGGGTAAAATTTTACCAAAATTGTTGGAGCCATTTAACCCTCCAGCTGCTAGTCGACTCGAGCGAGTCGATACGTAAGGTGTCGTTTAACCTACTTCACTCCGTTCCAGTGTACAAGAAACTGGATTGAGTTTGGGATCTCCGTAAACGTCAGATTTCAGGCTTTCTCCCGATACCTGTCTCTAATGCTTTAACCCAACTGGCTGCTTTGTAAAATGACTTGCAAAATTGACATTGTTGCGCCAGCTGTCTGCTGTGCTAACCTGCGTAGTTACCGAGTCTGTTTGTTTATGTCATCCAAAGTGGTTTCTAATGTATTAATTTAGTGTTTTTATGTAAATAATGGATAGTAGTGACAACTGTATGGGTTTTAGTGAGGATCTTAGTGATTCTGACAAAGATTTGTTTGGTGTTGGTAATGAAAACGTACGCATCCTAGGCCTAGGCCTATGCCTACTCTTGATCCTTGGGTGAGGGTTTCTGTCCATAAATGAGATATGATATAGTATTTTATTTTTTATTTTATGTTCATAAAAGTATATATTTTCTTGTTCCTTATTACATTAACTACAAAATGGCTACTTTTAATTTTAGTTCAGAGCAAAATAATTTTATTTTTATTATGTGCAAAGTTACAAAATGAAAACAAACTTTTATATTTTTTTGTTTGTATCTTTACAAATATTTTTATGGAAACATAACCATGCACTAATATGGTATGTTTTTATAGATAATTTTATACTGAACAAGAAAATATATAATATGTTATGATTTGTTTAATTTTTAACTTTATTACTAATTTTTTTTTATTGCCTGTAAAAAATGCTTAGCACCAAGGGCAAATACAACTAGCAGTTAGAGGGTTAAAAAAATTTGGTTTTACATTATTTTATGGGCTTTATGAAAAAATCACTTCAGCTGCAATAACTTTTGTACTGTAATCTTACAGCAATGGGAATAGTACCATTTTTATGAATGGAAAGGGCCAAAACGTACTATAGGCTATCTATATATAAAGCCAAAAGTACTCATGAACTTTTGAGAAAACTACAAGTCACACCCCCATAAACCATATACTTAAAATGTTCGTCATGACGAGAAACCTTGCTCAAAATTATCCATTATTTCATAAATTGCCCTATAAGGTCGTAATTGCTTTCCAAAGGGAACTTTCCATTTACCTAATCTATTCTATCTATCTATCTATATATTAATAGGCAAGCATGTTTCTTTAAAACCTTTTTTCTCAGCTCGTGTGCATCGCAGGGAAAATCTACGCATACTGTTGGAAAGATATTTTCCTGTAGATGTGCAGAATGCCTTTAAAAGTTAAAATAGGCTAACAAATAAGCACAAAAAATTAATTTGAAAACTTCAAAAAATTAACATGGACCATATGGGTTGCCATGATGGTGACGAAATAACAACAAAATGTAAACAGAAAATCAAAACAAATGGAAGAAATTCCAATCACATGTTTTATTTACAGCGTGGGGAGAAAATAGAGAAGTCTGTACATTAATTATTTTTGGTCGAGTTTCGACCACAGGGCGATCACTAGTACTTATTTAATACGCAAGCAAGATTTTTGTGACAATTACTCCTCCGAAACTACTGAACCGATTGACATGTTTTTGGTGTCATTGGAAAGAGCGTAACGTGAAGTTGTGCAGGAAACTTTCTTTTTAGGTAAATAATTAGAGAGTGAGGCCCTGGGGCCCTTTAAAGTTTTGTATTTCTCCATAAGATTAACATGGGAAACAAACATTGTTTGGAAACCCCAGCTGTTGTTAGAAATGGAATATTAATAATTGGTCTCCATGGAAGCACGAGAAAATTCACAATGTTTACATTTACTTTGACATTTAAATGTAAACAACCAGAACTGTCAAATGCCTATTTCACAATTTCAGACACAGCTGATAAAAAAAAAAAAAAAAAAACTATGTGGTAGGTTTATTTAATTTTAAACTTTATGGTAGATTATTATTTTATTATAAATCTATTTAAACGATTATGAAACAGATTTTTCCCGTTGCGAAGCAAAAATTAAAAGTGATAAGAAGAACATGTTAATTGTATGCAAACAGTTAATGTGTAAATTATCTATGTTGTATTAAAAATGTGTATAGTTTTGGATGTTGGTTTGCGTTTAATGATATAAACTTATTAATTATTGAATTTTTATTTGAAGGATTTGGCATATGAGTATGCCTATGATAAATAACACCATTTCAGAGTTCTGCCAGTTTTTGCCTAACTCTGTTCTGTAGAGTTTAAAGTAGCCTACACCTTATTGTCTACAAATTGGCTAAATAACTTTGTTACGGTACGTTATAAAAGCTGACAGCCTTTTTACGTTGACTTAAATTGTAAGCTTACCTTTTCCCGTCCATGTGCAGTTTGATAGTTAAAAATTTACCCTTTAAACTGGAATAGGACTGTTATGTAAATTGTGAGTATTTCCGTTAGTTAATAATCTTTTAGTCGACTCTTTCAAAATCATCCGATATTATGACTGTTATTAGTTTTTAAACAAGGCATTTGTTTATTAATAACTCCTGTACTTCTTTGCAATTGCTCGATTTCGAGCAACATGTACACTAGTGTTAAATATACCTCAGCTGTTATTATTTGTTTGTATTACCATTACTGTATTCTGTTTTGTTTATTTTGTCTTAACTTAACCAATCAATAGTTTTATTAATACTAATGTAGTAAAACGGGTTGGAGCCCGTGGGTAACAGCTAGTTATAATCAAAATCGTTCATGCCGTTTTTATGTAAATCCGAGTTTATTGTTATTTTTGTCTAAAATCACCGTTAGAAATCAAAATTTCAATAAAATGAAAAAAAAGGCCTGGAGATACCATGGATTAGTACCCAAATAACGAATTTCATCAAAATCGAACCCCCACACACATTACTTTGAAAACCTCTTTTGGGTTCAGGAGGACCAAAAATGGATATATCGGGACCGCGTCTCGTTGTCCCTCCGTCTCGTTGTCCCTCCGGCATAATTGTACCTCGAGGCCTAGGGACAACTAGTCGTAGGTACAACTAGACGTAGGTACAAGTAGACGGTGGCTCACCCGACTAGTTGTACCTGCAGATTTTTAGGAGGTACAACTAGACGTAGGTACAAGTAGACGTAGGTACAACTAGACGTGTATCCCACCGACAAGTAGTATCACCTAGCTTGTACGGATGCGACCAGTTGTCCCTACGACTAGTAGTCCCTACGACTAGTAGTCTCTACGACTAGTGGTCCCTCCGTCTAGTAGTCCCTTCGTCTAGTTGTGCCTACGCGTATTTTGCGTCCTTATAGTCTAGTTGTATCTATCCTTCAATTCGTTACCCTGTTTAATTGATTACTGCACGAGTACTTTTTAATAATACCCTTAATTAAATCAGGAACTGCAGTGTTCCGAGTCGATTGAGTATGATTGGCAAATATTTTTCAGCGCAATACGATGTTTTAGTAGTTTTACAGACGTTAATTGGAGGCTGAAAGCTACGCATTGCTGTCCAGGGTCGAAATGGCAGCTATAGTTGTGATTAAAATTTTCCAGCCCTAGTACCGAAAATCGCCTATTTAATTAAAGCATTTATATATATCATCTATATATATAAAAGGCAAAGCCCTCACTGACTGACTCACTCATCACTAATTCTCCCACTTCCCATTTACCTAGGAGGCTGAAATTTGGTACACTGATTCTTTAGGCATTAAATAGGAAAACTAAGTTGTTTTTATTCTGATCGGACTCTTGGGCTCCGCCCCATTGGCTCTGGAGTTTCCCATGTTAACCTTATGAGTACTCATATTTAAATGGAATTAATGAATCTTAACAGCTGTTTAAATTAAACAAGTTGGTTCTGTTCTATGATGTGCAATAGCATTACAGTTACGAGGATTACCAACAGGGTGCAGCACTATTTTTTTTTAATTTTTGACAGCTAATTTGCAACCAAAAGGTGAGTGAGCGTAGCGAACGAACTTCAACCTGGAGGCGAGTTAGCGTAGCGAACGAGCTCCAACCTAAAAGTGAGTGAGCGTAGCGAACGAACTTCAACCAGGACGTGATTGAGCCATGCGAACGAGCTTATCTTGAAAATTAAGAAGTTAAACGGGGCAAAGCCCGCGGGTACAGCTAGTTAAATATACAAGCAGTATATCCCTAATGAATTGCAATAGACCACTGCCCAGCAATTATGTATTACTATTTTTGCTGATTCCTTTAAATATTTTTTCACATAACCTTAAAGTATTTGCATTGATTAGTGTGCATATCTTATAGTTTACAATGGATTTCCCAGTGATCAATGAACAATGAAGTGTACCATGAAGTTGAGGTCCAGCGGTTGAAAACTCGACAAAAACTATGCAATGTAGGCCTACTACACATACTTCTCCATTTAACATACACTGTAAATAATAAATGTGATTGGAATATGTTCCATTTGTTTTGATTTTATTTTCATAATTAGTTGTTATTTCGTCACCAGCATAGCAACCCGTTAAACCCATGTTAGTTTTAAACATTTGTAATTCTTTTTTTATGTCTTTTTAGCCTATTTTAATTTATAAAGGCATTCTGTAGATCGACAGGAAAATACATTTCCACCGATATGCGGATATTTTCTCTGTGATGTTCACGAGCTGATAAAAAGGTTGTAAAGAAACATGCTTGCCTACATTATTGATATATTTTCTCAGTTTTGTATAGTTTGGTGAAAAACAGCAATCGTACCACGGACCGATTTCATCTTCGTCTCGAACTTAAAAATGATCCCGAGCTAAAAAAAAGTCATTTTCGGCCCTAGGTACGAAATATACTCTTAAACTATCGTAGGATCGGTGAATACTAAACTCTATCTTGGAATTGCATACACTCGCTCCTATCTTTAAGTTTACGTTGTTGCCATACAATAAATGTATAAATAAACACAAAAATTCACAAGTTTTGTTGTAAGTACCTATATCATGTATAAATAAAAACATACAATAGCATCATGTGTAAGTGTATTCTGTAAAACTTTAAACAAATATTAGTAAAATAGTTTTCAGGTAAACTATTGTTGAATGAATTAGTTTTAAGTTGTTAAATTAACCTCGACCCGTGCTATATGTTTAATGGAGTTTGTCCGGAAAAATACCATAGTAAAATTAAATCAAATAAATAAAATCAAAAGCAATTCATAACAAAAGAATAATAGATACAGAATGAACGTAATTTCTGAAAATCGACAGGGCCCACATATGCGAAGCCTGTGCGTGGGGGCCAAGTTGACTCAATAATTGACAATTTGTCATAGTCTTGTAACATAATTAACTACCACTACTATAATTATCAATACATTTTCAAAGGAGAAACAAACGTCCGATTATTTCTAGGCAGCCACAACAGATAACTTTAGAAAACTACGTTATAAGAATTAGAACAACTCAAAAATTAAATTGTTAACATGATTTGTTTAGCCTAACGAAGAAAATCACGTAATATCATTTACGTAATAACCATAAGAATAACATATACATTTTTAATTTGAACTTGTTGTAATATTCTCCGTGAGTAATACCGTACAAAAACACTTTATTATACTCAATTACTTGTTTTTGTAAACTCTGAATTTATTTATTTATGATAATTGTTTAAAGTTGTTGTTTACGCTAGTTAATGTTAGTTTTCTATAGAAAGGTAGAGTTTTTAAGTGGAAAAAACAATGATAGCAGATCTTGACAAGAAATGAGGAAAACCAAAGTGTAATATGGATAAGGACTGACCAAGGGACACAAGTACGTTGTTGTCAAGAACAGGGGATTCTCAATGAGCTGCAGACAAGCCAAATTTTCCTGGCTTTTGTAGCAAGTTGTTTATAATAAATTGTTGTAAGATTGTATGATTTTTAAAGAAATAAAATAAATCTCTTAAACCGGTGACAAGTTGAAGGGGAGATACAACTAGCCGCAGGTACAACTAGACGTAGGTACAAGTAGGCGTAGGTACAACTAGTCGTAGGTACAAGTAGTCGTAGGTACAAGTAGTCGTAGGTACAAGTAGTCGTAGGTACAAGTAGACGCAGACGTATGAGGTACAAGTAGACGGTGACGTTCCCGACTAGTTGTACCTGTAGATTTTTAAGAGGTACAACTAGACGTAGAGACAACTAGACGTAGAGACAACTAGACGTCCGCACCATCGTCAAGTTGTCTCTACAGCTTTAGACGGGGTACAACTAGACGCCTGTCACCAAAATGCAGCAGGTACAACTAGACGCCGGTACAAGTAGACATCGCCCCGATATATCCACTCAAAGCCCCAAACTCGAAAATGTGGACAAAAACAATGTTCTCTCCATATACTAAGTATAGGGGGAGAAAGTATGCAAAGAACGCCTTCTCAGGTAAGAACATTCTCTGTGTCTTGGACCACTTCCTTCAATAAAGGACACATGATGGTTTTTTCCACCGTCTTTGATTATTTCATTAACTCTTGTCGCTTTTACAGCCTTGCTGGAGAAGATGCACATGTTTGTCCGGAACCCTGCAGGGATGAGGACTAGGAGACGCTGCAGGACCCACGGTCAATACGATTTTTGTTGTTGCCCTGGAGTGTGGTTTCAGCTCAGCCCTCCGTTCAGCTTCATCATTCCATCCTCCTTGGACATGTGATTGTACTTTGTGTTTGTGTTATTGTTCTCACTGATAGTGTTTCTGTTCTGTTGGTAGTGTAGGTGTTGAGCTAGGTTAGGTTAGGATCGACTAGATTCTGAAGTATTCCCGTTCGGTAAGGTAGGATTTGTGTTCGTCTCTAAGACTTTAAAATCTATAATCTCGCGAATTAGAGAATATAAGCGATCAGGAAACCATTTTTAGATTGCTTTAATCGGTCAAGTGGTAAGCTGGTTTAGCCACAGAATTTCACATCGGCTATCCCTGCTGATCAGATAGCCAGTGGTATAGCCCAACATGAAAACGAAAACACTCAGTTGAAATTATTCTGAATTGAATGTGTGAATGACATGACAATCATTAACAATTCGGCAAAGCCATGTAGATTATTGTTCACTTCAGTGCCAATTTTATGTTTATTCGTTGTGTGTAAACTGTGTAAAGTAAAGGTCTATAGTGTTTGTCATTTTCAACGATTGTTTGGATTTTGATCTATGTTTTGTTCATGTCTTGAAGTCTTGTCTGAATTTCCTTTGTATGAAATTACCTATATAGTAGAGCCTAGTAGGCCTACAAAATTTAAAGAAAGAAAAGTGTATGTGTGTGTTATGTAATTTTCAGTGTTTAAGCTGAGGTAAGAATGATTTGATAAATTTGTTTGCACACTTTGATTTTGTTGTGCTATTTCTTTGCTAGATTTAAGAGTGCACATTTTTTATTTGAAGCTCAAGTCATTGGGCAGTTTGTATAAAAAATGTACAGTTTGCTAATGCTATGTAAATATGTCTACTACGGAAAAAATATTACATTTTGTATTGTGTTAAGTGTAAATCAAACTGTATGTATTTTTGCATATTGGAAAACATTTTATATTCACATTTTTATACATCAGATTTGAAAGATGTTTTAAAAGTACTATTTTTATAGATTTATGAACAGTTAAAACTTCTCTGTATCCTTAAATTTCGGTCCCTGTTCTCTCACATGTATCTAGATATAGATTGGACCTGTTCACTGTTTTAAGTGCTGGTTTTGGTTGTCACTAGATCTTTAATTAAGGTACACTTTATAATGTCATTAATCTATATCCTTCAACATTTAAAACTTTATTTAGATACTGTATTATTTTACGTCATACAAATCATGATATAAAAAATATGTAGTTTTTAACAACATTCAGGCTATTTAAAGTTTTTATGTTGAAATTTATTTGCATTGTCAGGCAGCCGTTTACAAGACACTAGTTTGTGTTAAACAGTGCTTGTTGAAGCTGAAACCTACATCCTATGACCTCTCTTTACTGAAGGAAAGCTTTCTGCTCAACTAAAAAAAATTAGTAAAGCAAGAAATAATTTGTCAAACAATATTTAGAAAAAGTATCCTGTTCAACTACTTACCTTTTCAAATTCAGCACGTCTATACGTTTACCGGTTTAAGTTATACAGCTGTTTGAATTTCACAGTTGTTTTAACGGGTGTATCATTAAGAGATAATACTCAAACTTTGCTAACTCTCAGTCTGACAGTATTTTAGTATAATTTCAACAATACCACAACAATCCAAATTTCTAGCTTGTATACTTGATTGCATGATTCCAATGAATCGGTATCCGTCCACCATCGGTTTTACTTCTATTTTTACTCAAGTTCCAGAATATACTAAGTAGTTTTACCATTACATCTTCAGCAAATCTAAAACGTTTTTATGCCCCATAAAACATTTACTTGTAGCAATTAATTTTTTCCCCAAATCCAATGAGAATATGAGTTAATTTTACGGGTTTGGCTTTTTAGAAGATGTTCAGTAGCCAAATTCAGAGAACCGATATTTTAGATTCAATAACCAATGAAAGTTCCCTTTTAATGCTATTGTTTAAACTGCATTTTCAAATTTGATTAGGTTTTTACTAGACGGAAGAATTTCTTGAATTTTAATTCTATTTGTTTTGAAAACACTGCTAGTCTAAGCCTAATTAGCACTGAATAAAAGTGAAAAATATTTTATTTGATGAATTTGCATTCTAAATATCAAAGGAAAGGTACATAGTAGCAACCACACTGACAGACTCTTGGTCCAATACCAACTTGAGAAACACACTGATGAAGAACTGAGAATTTGTATATAAGGGTGCTATATAAGGGGGTTTGTATATAAGGGTAATTTGTTCTAGGTGTACATTAGTCATGTATCACTAAGAGCAACTACTACTAAAACACATCATATATACTGATGATGAATAAGAACTGAGTTGTAAATAAGAGATGTATTTCTAAAATTGTTATGTATTACTATTTGTAAAAAAACCGTTATTTCTTTAATGTTGTTTGTTAGTGGTTATGTTGTTGATTGCTTATTTATTAAAATCATTTACTCGTTATTGTATGTCTTAAGTTAGTGTGTAAATTTGTAAGTTTAAGTTGTGAAACAAAGCTGTACAAACATGTGTAAAGTACAAAGAGACAGTTTACAAAAAATTAGAATGTTCCAAAATGTGGGTCATTGGTATATTTTTTAAAATTTTGTTTTATCGTGTATTAGCGTACATTTTTGTAGTGATCCAAAACTATTAAAATAAAACTTTTGTGTGTTTTTGTGAGGTTCAGCTCCAAGATATTATAGAATCGGTTAAATTTATTCTGGTAATCATAATTTTTACTCACAGAGCTAGAGATACAACTGCAGGTAGTACTGAATGAGAGAATCGAGAGACGACCACTTTATATACTACTTGGTTCATTACGCTGTAGTCATTATACCTAATACGTTGGAACTAGGGGCTGAATTTTAATCCGAACCACGGGGTTTGTGGAATTGTAAAATAGCCTTGAGCTGACCAATGCTTGTAGTTGGTAACATGTCAAAATTTTCAGCATCTAATTTTCTAGCAAAGTTGCTGTGCCAGTGCTAACTCCAGTTTTATTTCTAGCTCAGTGTTAACCTCATAATTAGGTCTGTGTGACTCATCTTAAACAGAGAATGAAGTTTGCATTGATTTACATTCCTGTAATGTTGATTTAGAGAATATGTGTTGTGTGGGTATATAATCAGGATAGAGTTTTGTTTTAAGTCCTTGATGTTTTTGGCAATCAAAAGCCATGTTTAAATATTTGAGCTAAAAAATGTGGCCTGCATTTTGCACACAGTTCTTAGTTTAGGTTATATTTATTCGGGTTTTCCATGACTATCTGTAGTTCTCTTTAAAACTGCTATGTTTTGTGTAAACTCATATAATCAAGTGAAAAAATGTTGGTTAGGATATAATTTATTATGCTGATTCCAAGAACTGTAATCAGATTCCTATATTCACTCTTATACAGCATTTGTAAAGGAAATATAACAATTAATTTCAACTTTATACTTATTTGAACAAAAAGGTACCAATCCTTCTTACAATCGCAACATATGTGAACCCTTTGTATAAACTTAACCTTTGCCTAATGCTCTCTACCGTGTATCCCTTTGTGTGCGATCCTTAATGGAGTTACCAAAATACATTACCATTAGTTTTTTTCAGTTTAACAATAAGTATTATGATTTTGTATTTAGTAAAGTCTTGATTATCTACTCTTTGGTCATCCAAACTTCCCTGTTTTTCCAATCTTCTGTGTTATCTGACCTTCCAAGTTGGGCTATTAATTAACAGCTGTGTCTAAGGAATGTCGGACATAGTCACTAACAAGACTACAAGATCGCGCCGCTCATCCTATATTCATCTCCATTCATACTTGGCTTAAAATACCTAATTTGTATGGTCGCCATTTCATAGAACGTATCCATGTTTTATCTGACTGTTATCCAGCCTTCCAAGTTATCCGACCCTCTCCTTGGGTGTTCGAGTACCTTGAAATCAAAAGGTTTTTTCGTGTGCACTGTATATTCTTGCAGGTAGGTCGAGACATAATCTTTTTCATTGTCTGTACTCAGAAGATGAGCACCCTCTGCACCTGACTGTACATTCTGATTGTTTTAGCGCGGTAAATACAGTTACCTTCTACCACCTATTACTCGTCACCTCCCCAAACTAATATAACTCTAAGCTACCCCTCTCATCTGAGTCGTGGTGTAATTTGAGTGAATGAGTATTGCTTTATCTTGCGTTTTTTTAGTTACAATAGTGGTGTCTTAAAAATCGGCCCTAGACGGTGTTAGGCCCAGTGCAAACATTTAATTTACCGTACTCAAGCTGACTTTACCGCATCCCTTTCTGTAAACAATGACTTTCTGATCCAAAAAAAGAGGTGAAACCAGCTGCTTATCGAGTAGCGTGGTGAAAGTGTGTTAACAATAGTTTTTTTTATCATTTTCTGTAATTTCCAATCTTTCTGTTTATCTCACCTTGTGATTTAGTTTGGATAATCGAGACTTTACTTAGCAGAAGTTTCCATTTAATAATAATTTGTAGTTTTATTTTTCTATCCAACTGATTTGTTAAAATGAAAATGGATTGTAATACAATCTGGCTTGGTCTTATGATTGGGTTTAAAAAATCACATATATTTTAATTAACAAAAAAATAATGGAATCCCTCCAGCAAGTTTTTATAGCAAGAAGGTGCATTTTTTTAGTTACTGTGCCTGAACTTAACAGTTTTTGCCAAGTTTTTCAACCTGTAGTTACCTACTTTAAAACTAGAACTAAGTGCTCTTATAGACGGTTAAGAGTTTTACAATTTGTATTCTCTGCAAATTAGACTAATGTTTTCAATTAGGTTAATAGTTTTGATACATTTTTTATAGTAAGAAATTTGACAGAGATTTAATTCAAAAAGATACTTTGGTTTTTAAGAAGAAAATTTTGTTTGATTATTAGCTTTACATTCATGGAAATGTATCCACTGAACTATATACAATATTCATTTAGTTTAATATTTTTTAAAAAGTTTGCTAAATAAAATATGAATGTTTTGGTTGATAGTGTAATTCAGTATAAGTGTTATTTGTCAAAAAGTTGAAAATTATTCATATTTTTAATTTTAAAGTACTTTTAAAACTTGAAAACTAGTAATTCCCCTTTAATTAAACATGCAATACTGCTCCGTTGGTAATACCATTGATTAATTAACATAAGTAGACTTCTTGTTCCATTATAAATTCTGAAACTCATTTTTCATGTCCAATTCATGTATTGCACACTAGTGTTGCCAACATTTTGTTTCTATTTGTTTCTACGGGTTGATTTTATGACTTGTGTTTTACTTTTTTGGTTATATAGCCAGGGGACGAGCTATTGTTTATGATCAGATTGTTTTATTTGGTTAAACAAGGTAATACTGTAACTAAAATTGAAAGAAAAAACTAAGGGACTCCCCTAGCGGCACCAGACTGAACCAATACAATTGTCTTTAGTTGATCCATAAGGATCTAACAAAATCTAATAAGGGAGTATGTTTAATCTGTGGTAGTACTTAGACATTGTTTTCCTAATTGAAGTACAAAAAAATAATAAAGTGGTTTTATAATTTCATTACTGTTTAATTTTTCCCCTAGTTTATGGTACCAACTTTAAAAATAAGTACAGTATTTCAATTTAAAGCTAAACATCTGATAGATTTGTTCCTCTTTTTCTATTCACTTTGAAAGCTTTTCTTTGAGTTTTTCTATCAATAGGTCTGCTCCTTTTTTGTTGATTTTATCAAAGTCCTTGATTGTAGATTTACATCGCTGAAACCAAGCTTTAGTTAATGGAAACTTGTCTCCTGTAGGGCGATAGACCTGAAAACAAACAAGAAACATTTTAGTGATTAACACTTCATATTATTTACATCAAATGAAACTGTTGTGTTACTTTTGGAGTAGGGTTTTATCTGGACCAGAGATATAATTGTGCTATAGTTCGGCCGCTTAGAAAGCGACCTCCTCTAGCATTGGTTTAGCATTAGCGCGCAGGTCGTTTTCTAAGCGGCCGAATTATACATTGCCTCCTTGGCCCTACAACACTGTGAATGTTTCATGATAGTAAATCAGGCTTCCATAGCATTTATAGTTCGTTTATGATTGAAATTGAAATTATCTTTATTTATAGCATGTACAAGACGTACAATAAATAGTGCCTAGCTTATAGTTACTATGTACAAATACTTTACCTAAACAACAAATGCAGAAAATAAAACTATAGCTGTATACGTTCATAAACAGTTTATCTATAGAGTAGATGGGTATTTATTTAAAAGAATTCTGCTGCCTGTTGGTGAGATATGACCTCAACCACTGTAAAGGAGTTTTTTTTAAATTCCAGGATAATGTGATTTCTGTAGCAGCTGTTCATGTGAAATACTATCAAATGCTTTAGAAAGGTCCATGAAAATGCCAGCAACACTTTCTATTTTGTCTATTGATTCAGTAAAATTGATCAGGGCTGTGGTGACATATTTATCTTTACAAAAACCGTGTTGTTTGTCATCTAAAAGACTATTTTGTTCTAAAAATGACATTAGTCCACCTTGCATGGCTTTTTCAAAAACTTTAGATATTGAAGGGAGAATAGAAACTGGACGATAATGTTCAACATTAATTTCTTCCCCTTTTTGTAAAATGGAATGATTTTAGAAATCTATAATTTGTCCAGGAAGATGCCAGAAATAAAGAATGAATTTATCAGTTGTAATAAATGGCTTTATCAATGCTTTATCAGGGTACAGTGGCTTTATCAATGGGATTTTTGAAACTTTTATATTACTAGGTGGCGTTCGCAGAGGCATCCACAAAATTGAGCGGAGTCATCAAGGGTTTATATTATATTGTTTTGGTCGTACTGCAGTAATACCAGTCGTTTTTAATGCATGCTTTGCGGGTCTAAAGTAGCAATTTTACTCTTTAGGAAGTAAAAAAAAGTTTTTATCCTCTATGGAGTAAAAATAGTTTTTATCCTCTATGGATTAAAAATCAGCTGTTGTCAACTTAGTTGTAAATTTCTATTATAAACGATTGCATGTATCGAAATATGTATCGATTCGTGCTTCGAAATTATTTTCACCTACAGTCTACAGTCTCTTCCCATTGCGTTTTAGCTTTGCAGATACATTAATCCATTCCCACACTCAACACGCTCACCTTTACTACTTCCTTCACCACCCCCTACGTCGTGGACCTATTTCCCTCTCTTCCCATAACATTTTAGGATTGCAGATATATTAATGTAATTGCCAAAGACAGTTCCCACACTCTGCACTGCAAGCCTTACCACTTCCTTCACCATTTCCTACGTCATAGACTTGTTTCCTTCCCTTCTCATAGCATTTTTGGATTAAAGATACATCAATCTAACTGCCACAGACGGTTTTCACACTATGCTCATACTTTACCACTTTCTAAGCCTTTTTCTACATCGTGGACCTGTTTTTATCACTTTCCATAGAAATTTAGTATTTTAGATACGTTAATCTAATTGCCACTAACATTCCCCACACTCCGCACTGCTCGCCTTTACTACTTCCTTCGCCACTTCCTACGCCACAGAACTGTTTCCTTCCCTTTCCATAGAATTTTATGATTGCAGATACCTTAATCTAATTGTCATAAACAGTTCCTACACTCCGGACAGCTTGCCTTGACTACTTCCTTCATCACTTCCTACGTCGCGGACCCGTTATGCTTCCTTCCCATAGCATTTTATGATTGAAGATATCTTCATCTAATCGTCATAAACAGTTCCCACACTCTGACTGCTCGCCTTGACTACTTCCTTCACCACTTCCTACGTCGCGGACCCGTTTTCCTCCTTTCCCATAGCATTTTATGATTGCAGATACCGTAATGTAATCGTCATAAACAGTTCCAACACTCCGGACTGCTCGCCTTTACTACTTCCTTCGCCACTTCCTACGCCACGGACCTGTTTCCCTCCCTATCCGTAGCATTTTATGATTGCAGATACCTTAATCTAATCGTCATAAACAGTTCCCACACTCCGGACAGCTTGCATTGACTACATCCTTCATCACTTCCTACGTCGCGGACCCGTTATCCTACCTTCCCATAGCATTTTATGATTGCAGATATCTTCATCTAATCGTCATAAACAGTTAACATACTCCGGACTGCTCGCCTTTACTACTTCCTTCACCACTTCCTACGTGACGGACATGTTTCCCTCCCTTCCACTAGCATCATAGTATTGCAAATACCTTAATATAATGGTCATAAGCAGTTCCCACACTCCGGACAGCTTGCCTTGACTACTTCCTTCATCACTTCCTACGTCGCGGACCCGTTTTCCTCCTTTCCCATAGCATTTTATGATTGCAGATACCGTAATGTAATCGTCATAAACAGTTCCAACACTCCGGACTGCTCGCCTTTACTACTTCCTTCGCCACTTCCTACGCCACGGACCTGTTTCCCTCCCTATCCGTAGCATTTTATGATTGCAGATACCTTAATCTAATCGTCATAAACAGTTCCCACACTCCGGACAGCTTGCATTGACTATTTCCTTCATCACTTCCTACGTCGCGGACCCGTTATCCTACCTTCCCATAGCATTTTATGATTGCAGATATCTTCATCTAATCGTCATAAACAGTTAACATACTCCGGACTGCTCGCCTTTACTACTTCCTTCAACACTTCCTACGTGACGGACATGTCTCCCTCCGTTCCCATAGCATCAGGATTGCAAATACCTTAATCTAATCGTCATAAACAGTTCCAACACTCCGGACTGCTCACCTTTACTACTTCCTTCGCCACTTCCTACGCCACGGACCTGTTTCTCTCCCTTCCATAGCATATTATGATAGCAGATACCTTAATATAATGGTCATAAGCAGTTCCCACACTCCGGACAGCTTGCCTTGACTACTTCCTTCATCACTTCCTACGTCGCAGACCCGTTTTCCTCCCTTCCCATAGAATTTTAGGAATGCAGATACCTAAATGTAATCGTCATAAACAGTTTCCACACTCCAGACTGTTCACTTTTAGTACTTCCTTTAACACTTCCTACGTCACGGACCTCAAGCTAGTGTCGTCATTGGATTATTTTATTATCCATACCCCCTTTTATGTTCTAATATCTGTGGAATAATGCTATCAGCTATTTATTTATCTACTGCATTCAAAAGTCAACAGCTGATCATATGTTTTTGTTTATGTGTCAAATACTGCTTCCATAAGAATTACATTGAAACTTTGAGACCCAGTGGGGCGGATTCCTGAAAGATTTTTTTAACGCCATATAGATGTTGGCACTCACCGATATGGTCTTTATCACCATGCAAAATTTGAAAACGATTGATTCAGCCGTCTAGGAGGAGATTGCGTATTACGAAATGCATAAGAGTCGACGTATAAGAGCTTCGCTCAATAATTATATTTTATGATTAAAGGTTCTTTGTTATAGACCCGTAACATAATATTAAAACAAAATTTCTGTTCCTGGTTGCATATTAATTTTTTGTGATGGCAAGTTTATCATTTACCTACATCCGTTTTTTTAACTAGCCTTTTCAATTCTATTTTGAACCGATAGTTTGAAAAGATTAACTTTACCGCATTGTTAGTAGGTCTTTATAAAAATACAAGAACTCTAGAAAATTTATTAGCTGTAAAAAAAGAAAAACCAGTTTAATTTCAACATCAATAAAGAGGCCTACCTCTAAAATGTCAACAAGAGTCACATAGCTGAAGTCTGCAACAGTGAGGGAGTCCCCAGCAATGAATGCTTGTCCCTCCAGAAGTTTCTCAATGTTTTCCTGAGTTTGTTTTACCTTTTCCAGCTGCTCATCCAAGATCGTAGTGGCGTCAGAGTATAGAATTCTTTTCTGTAAATATGTCAAGTTAAATTACTAACATCTGAGTAGCCGTCAATTTTATAATGATTTTTGTAGGGCTTAAGTATTTGTTTCTATATTGGTTACCAGTACAGATACATCTGTGCTCAGTCCAGTACTAATTTATAAAATTTTATATTCTTAAAATCAGTAGGGTCTATTCAAAATTTGTTATTGAAACAATTTGTCATATAAAAGAACAAGTTTAGTTTTTATTTGGGATAGCGTTTTATTAAATAACTAAAGTGTATATTATATTGAAAGTTATTCTTTAACCTACTTTAACAATCAAATATATCCAAGATTTATGATTTATATTAGCTGTCAGTAGCAAAATGTGGTATAAACTCCCCCCCCCCTCCACCTTGGTTTTACCTATATAAATATTAGATTCATTTACAAGAATTACAAGATCCAATCAGTACCTACACTTTCATTGCTCCAATATCTTGAGCCTTTTATTTTTTAAACTATTTTAGATACCGATGGTATAGATTACTGTTAAACTATTGATTCCCTCCTCAATGAAAACCTGTCGGATATGTTAGACTTACAATAATCTGTATGAAAATGTAGAACACATCATTACTGTAGTGAAGTCGTTGATCAACAATTGCTCTTTTCTGCAAATCTTTCGGGTAGAGAGAATCGTCTTTGCCATACTTGGAGACCAGGTAGGTAAGGATTGCTCGGCTGGAAATTAAACAAAGATTTACAAATTGTTTTGTAACAAAGGCTACAACAACTATCACAATTGAATGGTAAAAATCAGAGTCAAATTGCTCAACCTTACCTTTCCCAAAGTATGAATCCATCATCATCAATGACTGGAATAGTGTGAAGAGGATTTAGCTGTAACAAAATATTTACTATGTTAACAGCTTTTTACAAAGGCATTTAAAAAATGAAAATGTATATTATAATCTAAAGCTGCAGAGTTAACTGTGTTGTCGCTTGTTATAATACGTTTTCATTATCATTATGATACTGTTAAGATTTAATTTAATTTAGGAGTTACATCTGAAAAAGTAGTAATTCTTGATTCAGAAAATTAATTTGAGTTGAATATACATTTTTGAATAAGCATATTATGAGTGTTATGGTGATCATTTCACCTTTTGTTTGTGTCAGGTGGAAAAACGTCATCTCATTGTCATGGTATTTAAAAAAATCTATAATTTTTAATTTTTTATATTATATCTTTGACTTAATCTGTTTCCAATAAACTGTATTTATTTGTAACACAGTTTAAGCAGGAGTTAATCCAATAAAAAGGAGTGTTAAATAACACATTTCTAGAAGTCAACCCAAAAAAATGGTAATGCCAATATAAGTCTACCCATCATAATCAAGGCAATTTCTAGGCAATTTCAAGGCAATCAAGGTAATTTCATAAATTGAAATTAGTTTCTTCATAGTAATTACGAAACGGCTGTTTCATTATAAAAAATTAAATATTACAAAACTATAACAAAAAAAGTTCAATATATTTCAGCATTAGCCTTCTTCAGGAACAAACAAATAATGTTTAACCATGCAGTATCAGATGGTTTAGAATATATCTAATTTAAATGGAAGGATTTAGAAGGAAGGATAATTTTTTCATCTAATATAAAAAAGAACATTTTGATAAAAAGAAAGAAAGAAAAAATTATAAACCTCAAATGTAGACTAGATGGTGTTTTTAAATTTAAGTGATGGGCTTGCTCAAGCAGTCTTAATTTTATGTCTGATTCGTCTTTGTCTAATTTTCTCATGCCTTTTATAATGAAAAACACTCTGTTGAAAATTTTGAGAATGCTTGTGGATATCAAGTATTGCATTTATTTATCAGGATAGTTTACATCCATTCATACAAACTCCAAGAGCATTTGTGGTTTGCCATGTCGTTAGGACATTTTTTGCAGGAAATTTGGCAAATGACATTGGTAGAATCAGAATGATGAAGGTTTGACGTGATGATTTACAAGTGGCACATCGAGGTTGGTGGCATGGATTACAGCCTGAAAGTTTTGCTGGTGGTTGGGAAGTGGGAGATAGTTTAAATTGAAATTAGTTTAGTTGATATGTTTAGTAGTTAAGCACTGATAAATAAAAGCTGCAGACAGGGTACCTTCAAGAACTCGGGCTTTAATTGGTCCTTATGAAACAGATTGACAGTCTTGTATTGAGCCTTGAGTCCTAGGGTGTGTATCAGCAGATCTACGGACCGCACAGGAGGACTTGGGTCCAAATGATACAGAATCAGCACCATATCTGTGCAGAACATACAATGGCGTTATTAATTTATAAGAGCTGAAAGGAGTCGGAATTCACAGTCAGCATTAACAAATCTGATGCTAAAGAACAAACAAATTGTGTTACCAACTTACCAACTCGCTATTTAATAGTCACCAGCCTTTACTTAACTGCAAATATAATAGCAGAGTACAAAGTTGTTTTATTTGTAGTACCTATACAATCTAAAACCTGATTAAATAGAAAATTCACAAAATTGTATTAGGTATTAAATATTTCAAACCTAAGAGTGCCCAAGAATTTACAGCGTTTGGCTCAAAACCAAGAACAATGTGAATTTGTAAATGCTATTAGTTTGCAGAGGTGCTATTCCAACAAACTTTTTTCGGTGTATATTCCCATTTCAAACTCTTATCATGTATTTCAAAGTCATATAAGTAAATTTGATAATTTTTTATATACCGGTATTAAAACATGGGTCTAAATTTATTTGTATGCATTTTATATGCTTGCTATAAATTTGTAAAAAACAATGTTGTAATAAAATTTTTACTAGTTTATTAAAGCATTTTAAAATGCAGATACCATACCAAACTTTTACCAGTTTTTTAATGTTTTATAACAGCCTATTTAAAAATAAACTCCGACTAACCAACTTTAAGTTTTATTTATGATAAAACGCTTTGCTTTTCCTGCGCGGTTTTAACAGTCGTCATTGATTTTGATTAGTTAATACTAGTGCACCTGTTGCTCGAATTCGAGCAATTGCAAAGTATTCCAGGCGTTATTTCGAAACCAATAACAGTCATAATTTCCGAGGGGAGTCAAAGTCGAAATATTTTAATTTTTTTCAATTTTTACTTTTTATGTTCTTTTTATAGCACAGAACTTCTTCTTAAAAATGGTATACTTACATTTTTGATTACTAACCTAGAAATGTATAAAAAAATATATTTTCCATAAAATTGCAGTGACGTTTTAAAGGTAAAACTAGTAGACCCTTGGTTGACCCTTGGAGGCTTTTCTTGCCGATTTCCGCAACTTAACTTTTTTAAACTTTAATGTCATTTTTTTCAGGACTGGTAATACATACAGCTGTGAAATTTTACCACGTAGTCTTAGTGACTTATTCTAAACACAGACATAAGGAATTCATCATATCTTTAGTAGAAGCATGTAAAAAAAATTATAAATTTTATTTTTGAAACAAATTTTTGTTTAATCTATAAAAACCCATAAAATAGTTATTTTTAATTTAAATGAAAAATCTTGTGTCCGTGACTACTTAATATAAAAGTATACCAAGTTTCATTATCCTACCTGTTCTAACTCCTGAGAAAAGTGACATTTAGTTAACATTACTAAACATAGGACCTCGGACTCCCCGAGACAAAATTTAAAATCGGCTCATGAATTTGTGAGATAATCCCCCCCCTTTTCCCCTACCCATAACTTGTTTTTTAATAGCAAGGTACCCGCCCTTGTGACATATCAAATAAAAAATAAATTTCACCAAACATTTTCTTTTTTCATGCTCTTTCATTTGATATGTCACAAGGGGAAACTTGTTATTAAAAAAATTAAGTTCCGGGGAGGGGGAGGGGAAAATATCTCGCAAATTTATGAACCGATTTTCAATTTTTTTTCATCAAACATTTTCTTTTTTCATGCTCTTTCATTTGATATGTCACAAGGGGTACCTTGCTATTTAACAAAATTAAGTTAGGGGCAGGGGGAGAGGGGGGAATGTGAATCTAACGTAGAATTCAAAAAAATTGGGCCCCTTACGTAAATAGATGATTCCCGCAAACTGCATATTTCTATCTATTGCGGTTTTTACATAAATAAAGATGCAAGTTTAAAAAAAAAACACCCTGATGACTGTGGAAGTGGAGTGGATTCAATAGGATCGAATCGGATTGGAATGTAGTACTCACTCACTTAACAGCCACCCACCGACCCACCCAGTCAGTCTCAGTCACTTCCACTTCACTCCTTCACAGTCACACGTGCTGTTGCTGTTGCTGTTGATTGAATTGAAGCTTGAAAATTGTGCTTGCTGCGTTGCTTTGTTTCTGTTTTTTTGAGTTCTAAACTAAGACTAGACTGTGTTTCGGTTCTTTATTATTGTGTGTTTGTTGATGTTGATGTTGTGTTTTGTGTGATGAACAAAATAATCCAAATCCATACTTCGGGAAATGTATTTTTAAATTAGAATATTGTAGATAATTGTTTTGATTTACAGTTTGAAGCTACTGTACTACTTGCTCGGTAAGTTCCTTCTCATTATTAGTGCATTTTTTTAACACAGAAAACATACTTAGGCCTAACTATAACCATAAGTTACTATACTTTTAACAATATAAACATACTTTGAGAGAGGCAAAGCTTCTCAAAGTACTTAACGCTTTTTACCATGCGGTTGGCATTCTGGGTTAAATAGGCCTAGTAGGCTAGTATGTTTTCCGTGATTTTAATGAGAAGCTCTAAAAGCACTGCACAATATAATAACAAAGAAATGTTATGCACCACTATTCATAATATAACATAACCTCAATTTCACTTCACTCACTACTGCGCTTGAAACAAAAACAATTTTATAATTTCCAAACCATAGGTAGGCTAAGTTATTTTACTAAGTGTTTCCCTTTATTAAATAGATACCTTCCGACGAAGACCGATCTGACGAAAAACGATCAGAAATGTTAGTGATGGTGAATCTTTGCAGAGAACTCTCGCTGGCATCGAGTCTTGGTGCAAGCAGAATTTGATGTATCTCAATGTATCTAAGTGCAATGTAATATCCTTTACAAGACGTGAAACTATTGTACATATAGATTATCGGTTGGATGGTACTCCCCTGAGCCGGTGCCACGTAATTAAAGACCTCGGAGTCTATTGGAATTCTTCCCTTACGCCTGAGCACCACGTAGATGAAATCTGCAGGAAAGCTTGTGGAATCCTCGGTCTGATCTTCAGAGTGTCAAGAAATGGATTTTCAATAACAACTCTAACTACCCTTTACAAGACACTCCTTCGCCCGATTTTGGAATATGCGGCGGTGGTTTGGAAACCTTACCATGACATCTACGTTTCTCGGTTACAGCGAATTCAGAGAAGATTTGTAAGAATGATGGGAGTTAGATGTGGCTACAACTATAGAGACGTCCCAGTTGAAGAACTTGAGTCCCTGCTGAACCTCCATACTCTGGCCAAGAGAAGAGATGTTGCGGACCTGGCTTTCTTGTTAAAACTGATCAATGGTAAAATTGACTCTCCTCAGCTGTTGGAAAAGCTGTTATTTCGAGTTCCAGGCAGTACCAGGTCTACAGATGTTTTCTTCAGGGCGCAGTACAGAACAAACTACCTGGGTAATAGTCCGATGATCCGACTCCAACGGCTAGGAAACGAATTCTCAACTCATGTTGACCTCTACAGCGACAGTCTAGCCTCCCTTAAACATAAAATCCTACACGTTTAATTAATTCACACCACATTACACTTCACATCCAAATACAGATTTACACCAGACTTCATACTACTATATACTACAGAACTACACCACTTACATTAGAATACAACAGATCAAACTCAGACATCCTACCATACGATTCAGACACATTTCATTATCATTGTTATTGTTATTATTATTCTTATGCCTTGTTTTTGTTATGTCATAGTTTATAGCTGTTATTGTTGATCGATTGTATTGTTGTTATTGCTGATGAAATGTTGTTTTGTTATAATTTAATATTTTGTATTCACATAATCTTATTATAGGTAATCTTAACTGATTGTATTTTGTAAATGGCATTGCCGTGGAAAATAAAATGAAAATGAAAATGAAAATGATAGGGTAACTTACTATTTTTTGGTTGGAATATGATTCCGAAACATTAATTAAGTTATAAAGGTCCTACGTTAATTGCACAAGTTCCAATCTGCCTAACTTTATTCAATGATTTTTAGGGTTGCACTTTAGTTTACGTCCTACATTTACTATTGTACATTAACTACCCAAAAATGAAACTTTTCTAAACTAACTTAACATAACCTCAACCTAACTGCAGTAGGCTAGATACTTATGATGCGAGTAAACGTAGGACGTAAACTAAAGTGCAGCCCCATTTTTAGAATACCGGTAGGCCTAAATTTTGCATAAGATATAAACACAATGTTATGATGTTAATAGAAAAAAGGGATCTGGTAAACTTTAAAACCGCCATAGCCTACCTATAAGTTAGGCTACCCAAATTGTCTTATACTCTGGTAGGCTAATCTAAGTTGGGCTTATAGGCCTAGTCAGTTATACCACATAAATAATCCTACAGGCATCACACAGATATTAACTTATCTAACATCGTTCATCAGAGACTAAGTTAGTTAACTTAAGTTACTTCTGATGGATTGTAACTTAGAAGGATTTTAACTTAGGGCCTAAGCTATCAAGAAAAAACTTAATATTTTCACATTTAGGCTAACCAAAAACTCTATGAAACGTAAACTTACACATTTGTATTTCAAGACAGTTAGTGTCTAAGTTATCAAATGTATTTCATAGGTTAGAAAAAGTCGTGTAACTTACGGTAGCTGTAAATTTTTCAGTATAGGAATGCTTACTTTCTTCTAAGATTTCATTAACATATATAAGATTCTTGAAAAAAGCAGAGATCCGACAGATTCCTATTCCAAGTACAAAGTATAGCTTAGAATGTATTAACAGTCAGTCAGTCATTGTCTATTGTTTCGCTTTTCAAAACTATTAAAAGATACTAACTTGCTCACTGTCTATTTACAATCTTTCTTTCTTTATTAAAAAAAAACAAAAAAAAAACATTCGTCATGGCTATTAGTACGCCTAAGATATGGTTTGCTAATTACCGTACTTGCATACTTGAAGGTAAGTTTAAATTATCCCACTTGTAGCATTTCAGCCGTGGTCGTTAGTTTGGATTGGATAGTTTGGTAGGCCTAAGGTTCTGAGGCAAGCCGTTGTAGATCCTCAGAGCTATGGTTAGGAAAGCATTCTTTGTCTTTGAGGATCTACAGAAATGAATGTAAACCATGTTTCTTGGCAGACAATTTTTGAATTTTGTCCTTGACATGTTGCCCATATAGGCTATGTCACATATTTATGATAAGCCCTATATATCACAGATTTCACTGACTAGACTGTTAAAACGTTTGTTCTGATAAAAAAAAGGGCTTGCAATGGTCCTTAAATGAAAATTGTGATCCTAAATCTAAGTTTTGAATCCCTCGTCTGTGGCAACAGGATTTTAATGTAGGCTTAGGAAGCGTTAGGCCCCCATAGCGCAGTACCGTACGCCGTTGCTCAGCATGCAATCAAGAGCATAGCTTAGCATTTGTCAAGATGGACAAAAAGGCTCACAATAGAAAGTTTAGCCTATATTAATATGTCAAATATATAGTTCATAACAGGTGGGAATAATGATTCCAACTCTCCATTTGTGGCGAGTCTGTGGCTCAGTCGGCAGCGTCACAGACTTTGGGACTAAGGCAACGATGTCGTGGGTAAGGATTCTGGTCACCTCCGCTATTTTTTATAAGTACCTACAGTTCACCATTGTCAGTACCGGCTCACCCCTTGCTTTACTGGATACCGTATGTTACACACACAAGCCCATAGCCTATGTCGACGGGCAAGTGCAAGGTTAAAAGAGGCCGCCAACCACCTTTTAGCAAATTTCCTATATAGGCCTATAGGGAATAAGCTATTACCGTAGTACTCATAATAAGACCTGGACCCGGGACCGATATATTTTTTGTTTTGAGGTCCCTAGAGACCAAAAAGTAGTTTGTTGTAGTTAGTGCGTACACGCTACGCGGCTCCCAGCGGTGTTCGCCAGAACCTATGGTAACCACACCATGGCTGACAGTCTAGGCTATATTTAATTAATTTTGTCTATGCTTTTTCCTAGCTCAAGATATTTTGTGGTGACCGATTTGCTTACGGAATTAAATATATAGATTTAGGCCCAATCTAAATTTAATGGTTAGCCTACTGTACTATTGGTTTGTCTAGTTTCTAAAGCTGCCTAGGAAAACCAAATCACATTAATTTATATAAAATTACACCTTTAAGGAACATAATAAAACACATCCATTTGAGTTTCTAGTTTTTATCATTTTTATCAAATAAATTATTATTAGGAAATAAAAGCTATTAAGATCAATAGCTGGGCTTTGTTTGCTTCTGCAAATAAAGAGTTTTGTACTGCTACAAACATGATTGAATTTTTTATACATAGGCTACCGGTACTAAATGCAAAGTTGAAACAATGTGAAGCGTAGAAGAGTGTTTTATCAGTTAAATAATGATCAAATAACTCATGTTGAATTATTTACAGATTGATGAGCACGACTAAACTGAATTTCAAATGTATTCATTTACTAGCGGGATTCGAACCCGGCACCTTCAGATTATCAGCCCGACACGCTATCCACTTCACCACCAAGGCTCATGACTCAGCTGCTCCGTATCGTTGCGGTAATGGTTGACGTCACGCCATCGGCACAGAGCGGTGGTGGGGGGTTTTCCGATCTGATCCACGATCCTCGGGGTTGCACTGGCTGCCTAGACGCTTATAACAAAACTTGATCGGAAATGGTTGCGGTATTTGTAAACAACATTTAATGTAAACATATCAGTGACAGCTAGAAGTGAGAACTAATCCAAACAGCTGATCGTTATTTCATAAAATGTAATAGTAAACATTAAGGAGAAAATTTGATAAAAATCGAACGAAATTGGGTTTTTGATGGTTAGTTATTTTGTTTTCAAAGAAGCGAGGCCATGTTTTTATAGCCAAAGACACTCTCACCAATCCAGTAAATACAGAAAAATGATTAGAACCTTGATCGGTAATCTAGTTTTCTAGGAGAAGGCCGCGTAAAATGACATTTTGGCGTTACAGACGGAGTCACAGAATGGACAAACAGACATACAGACAGAAATTGAGATAAAACTCGTTTCGGCTTTCTTAGGCTATAAAACGTAAAAATTACCAAAAACTGCATGATTCTAAGCAATGTACAGACAAAACTCTAATTTTATTTATATAGATAGAAGATATTTGATTGAAAATAAAGAAGATAAATGATTTTTTAGGTATGTGGGCTATAATAAGAATTGTTGAAGACTCAACATATGCAGTTGTACCTGTGTCATGGCTAGTGGATGACAATACATGCTATTATCCAGATGTCGATAGCAAAACTTTGAATCTACTTGTGGCCAGAGCCCAGGAACCTGGGACGAATTGGGATGTGGTCCTGATTGAGTTAATGGATAAAAACATTGGTAAGTAACAAATTGTTGTTTTTCCTAGATTACATCTTATAACTGGAACACGCTTATGGGACAACCGTGCGCTTTCAGCTCTGGTATGTTGGGGCGGAAATATATTTAGTACAAGCAAGAAAGAGCCCGAATGGCGAGCACTGTGTAGAAATTTCTATGGCACAGGGTCTTTTTCAACCTTGAGTTTTGTAGTAGGCCTATGTGATAGTGAGGTGGTGGAGAGAGACTTTGCTCTAGACACCAGCACTAGTGCTAGACACCACTCCTGCCTCTGTGCTGTATCATACAGCGTATATTCTGTTCGTTACTTCTCCGTGCTATAGGTTTTTTCAAAATGCTTCAATATCTTAAATCTGTTAACAATTAGCGTTAAGATTGATTGATTTTACTGCAATGTAGGCCTATTAGTAATAGTTTAATAAAACCTAACCAAACATTTGCCACCCATGTACGTCTCTTCAGAGGTAACATGTTGAAATTACATATAAGTACTTTATTGTGTAATGGCAAAATGTTCCGCCTCCTAGAAACTGTCAAATAGTTGATAGTTTAATAGGCTATCATATGTTTTTGGTTTTGTGTTATGTAAATAAGATCAATAATTAAAATGGCTTGAATAGAAATAAAGTTTGTTACAAGTTCAGCTATGTCCTTATTTAAATGTTAAAATCTACAATTAAAAGTAATCAAAGTAAAAGTAAAACTACAAAAATAACAGAAGCATAAAGCTTATGAGTAGTTATAAGTAAAATCCCCCATTGATACATACTACTCTTATGATTCAAAAAAATCCAAAAATTGTCCATATTCATAATTTTGGCGATTTTATTTTTGGAATATCCAAAATTTGATACAGTAAAGTCATATTATTTTTTCTAACACTGTATGAACAAAATAGCTCATTGCCGCTCTGGAGCAGGAATGGATCATACCCCCCCCTGCTAAATCAGCTGATCTCACAATTGTCGTTTGGAGACAAACCACAGCCGCGTATTCGGTACATTAAATATGAACCAGTAAGAAATAACACAACCTTTAAAAAAGCAAACACAACCTAAATGACATTTATATACACCTAAAAAGAAAAATCTTGTGTGTATTACGAGCACAAGTAGTCATTGCCGCATTCTAAATGTATGGCCAGCTAAAGCTTTGTGCAGGCATCTTCAGTTCTCGAGCCGCAATTACATACTTTGCACTCCTAATACACAAATAGTTATCATACTACTGCTACAGGACTGAGCGATTAATAAACTTTATTCCCTAGTTATAATACCTAAAGTAGCTTAGCCCTGATACATTTTTGCAATACTTATTCCAGATAGCTTTGAATATTGCATGTCAATCATTGCCTGCCTCAAGAAAGGTGTGACATCAGAAAATGAAAAAGCAATGAGCAAACGGAAGAAGTCTTCATCCATGAATTCAGAAAGAAGTGATGAAGAATCAGACTCTTCTTTAGATGACATTCAATCGTTCAAAAAAATCCAAACGCCGAAAAAAACTCGAACAATCACCTCAAAACTGGAACCACTTTCCCCAGTGCAAAGTTCTCCTATCATTTCCCCTGCTGCGGCTTTAAGGCCTTCAACAGAACAGGTAGAAGTGTGTTCTACCCAAGAGTCATCCTGCAGACTGCCCAAACAAAGTGAACATTACTGTGTCTTCAAGTCAAAGGAACAGGTTACATTGGAGGCCATAGGGCATGCTCTCTGTGTAATAACACGTAAGTAAAGTTTTTACATAATCATAGTTACTATTATAGATGTAAGACTTTCTTTGCAAGAGGTATTAGATGGAATCGGGGAAATTGCTATTTTTCATCAATCCGTAGTACAATTTTAATATTTTTCAAATGTACAAATTTAAATTTGAACAATTTTTTCTTCTGGATTTTCTATAGAATACCTACTGTAGTTATTTGAAAACCGTATATTATACACCATTCTAAAATGTACATAGAAAAATAAATTCTTTGTTCTGAGTGGTTAGTCACAGACACCACCGCAACACACCTCAGGGATAATCACTTCTGAACATTAGATTGCTTATATAAACAACTAGCAGAGCACCCGTCCTTCGTATGGGGTTGGCATCTATAAGTATAAAAGAGGATGTTTGTATATATATTTGTTTGTTTGGAAGTGATAAACTCAGACACCGCTGAACCGATTGCCACGAAACTTGGTACATACATGTAGAATGTCATGGAATAGGTTTATACACCATCAATTTCGTGATCCGTCCAATCGGCTCCGCCCCAGTGGCTCTGGAGTTTCCCATGTTAACCTTATGAGAAATGGAATTAATGAATTTTAACAGCTGTTTCAATTAAACAAGTTGGTTCTGTTCTATGATGTTGAATAGCATTAAAGTTACAAGGATTACCAACAGGGTGTAGCACTATTATTTCTTTTACATTTATGACAACAGCTAATTTGCAACCAAAAGGTGAGTGAGCGTAGCGAACAAACTTCAACCTGGAGGCGAGTTAGCGTAGCGAACGAGCTAACCTGAAGGCAAGTGAGCGTAGCGAACGAGCTAACCTGAAGGCAAGTGAGCGCAGCGAACGAGCTCCAACCTAAAGGTGAGTGAACGTAGCGAACGAGCTCCAACCTAAAGGTGAGTGAGCGTAGCGAACGAACTTCAACCAGGACGTGATTGAGCCATGCGAACGAGATCATCTTGAAAATTAAGAAGTTAAACGGGGCAAAGCCCGTGGGATTATAAATAGTCAAAGGCAAGACAACGTCTGCCGGGTTCAGATAGTATAAGTATAAAATGCTTATGGCAGTTATACTCAAGCTTTGCGTTTACAATGGGGGAGGACACAGTTTGATAAAATTTGGTTCATAAATTTACGGTACGATATAGTATAACACATCTACCATTGCCATAATGTTCTACCGCTGCAACTAAACAATAGAAAAAAATAAATGATCAAACATTCGCACAATATCACAAATTATTCATTGGATTAAAAACTCAAACCTAACTGTAAAAAATCCCACTTTTCAGTTCTCATTGTGTATCACAGCTTTTTAGTGCTGCTTAGTTCAAATTAGCTGTTGTCATTTATGCAAAAACAAAATAATAATAGTGCTGCACCCTGTTGGGAAACCTTATAACGTTTTAATGCTATTGCATGTTATAGAACCAACTTGTAAAGTTGAAACAGCTGACTAAATTCTTTAATTCCCATTAAATAAGAATACTAATAAGGTTAACATGGGGAACTACAGAGCCACTGGGGCGGAGCCCGAAAGGATTTTTGAGATGAGAATATGCCTAAATGTTAATCGGGAATGTGAGCTATCATCATGCCAAATTTCAGCCCAATCCGTCCAGTAGGTTGTGCGTGATTGAGCAACACACAAACACACACACAAACTCACAAACTTTCAGATTTACAGTCTAACCTTGATATAACGAACCTCGATATAACGAATTTTTTAAATCCCCTAGAACTCTCCATAAGACACAATGTATATTTTACCTCTACATAACGAACAAACCATATCAACGACCTTGATTTAACGAATTTTTCATGATCCCGGATAAAAATAAGACACCTCAATATAACGAATTTATCATTGTCAGAACCTCTACATAGCAAATTTAACCTCTACTTAACGAATCGTCTGCATCTCTCCCTCGAAACAACAAACCCCCCACCCCCATTATTGTTTTTGAAAAATCCGTTTCTTCATCAAATGAAATGGAAAGGTGACGTCAACGCTTGCGCTAACATTCGTCTGCTCCGTTTTACACATCCCTGTCTGCTGACGTCGCTGCATGCGCGCTATGTGACATACTGAGAACTGAGGACTGATGACGACGTAATGTGTAGTAAGCTGTGATTGGGTGATAAGTAAATATGGTGAATTGTACAATTTTTGGATGAAGAGAAACCTAAGAAAGAAAAAGAATAGAAGAACAAAGCAAAGAGAAAGAATAGCAACATCGTTATCTTAACATTCCTTTTGCGAGTCTTTTTATTCTCTTTAAGTTGGCTATGATTATGATTATACACTTTTATAACGACTTATCTAATATTTTTATTATTTTCAATACGATTTGTTTAAACTAAGGCAACACCAATGCTATAGTTGATGATTATTACAGTATTGACATTCCTCTGTTGTGATTTAAAGCATTACTGTAGCCTACCGGCCTATCACGAGCAGTAGCTTACAAAACTCTCTACTGTTTTGTTTTGTTCTTTACGTGGTTTATTGCTATAAAATACAGTATTTGGCTAGGTTTTAGGTGGGTTAGAGTAAGCTGTGATTTTAAACTTACAGTTTGTAACCTGTACCAAGGTCAATGACTAGAAATGTCATGATTGCGCAATATTAAAGATCCCTTCCCTTTAGTACCCCAGATAATCGAGGTTCTACTTTACAATATAAACACTGTATACTGTAAAGTATTGTAGCCTATGCTACTTTAATTGTGTTTTGATGAGGCCATTGAGGTCCAATCCCGACCTATATTGACTGATGCTGGTTCTGAACCTCGACTTAGCGAAATTCCTGCAAACCTAACCTCAATATAACGAACCTTGTTTTAACGAAATCCTTGATATAACGAATATTTAGTTCAGTCCCATCAGATTTGTTATACCGAGGTTGGACTGTATAATATTAGTAAGATATAAAGTTATATAAACAATAATTATTACAATAAACATTTATTCTCTCGTAAAATGCCACTGGCGTAGAAAAAAAATAAATAAAAAATAAAGTTATAAATAATACAAAATTAGAGTAAAAAAATAATCTTAAAAGGTCTTTTTTTTAAACTAAGTTAAAGTATTTAAAACATGTAATTCTTATGTGTTGTAGGAAAACTTGAAGTTCAGGAAAATAACTCGTCATTTCTTAAAGAAGAACTTCGAGCTATCAGACAGGCTATTGAAGTAAAAGAAAGAGTTCAAGATGTCCCGAATGAACAACTTCAAAACCATGAAGAATTATTTCAAGAACTGCCACTCAATTCAGTTGAAGAGGTGGATTTGTTTGAAGAGCAATTGAAAAGGAAAGATCTCTTTCAAGCTTGTGTAAGTAAGATTGTTTGAATTACAGGGTGTCTACAGCTCCCGGATGGATATCTCCGATCTCTTGGAAAAGTCCCAAATGAATAGTTGAGGCCCAAAGCAGCAACAGAATTTTAACTTATTGTGAATCATTGAATTAATACCAAAATAGTAAATATTTATCCGAAGCACAAGATATTTTTATGCTGATTGCGTAAAGTTATTTTTGTTGAAAGTTTTACCACTATAAATTAGATTAATGGTGGTTGGTAGTTGCTCTGTTATTTAATTTCATTTTATTGTGAACTGTTCAATGGAAAAGTCTCCAAATCTTTCCTTTGTACGCTGAAAACAGTGCTTTGAAGTTATGGAAATATTTCACTGCACCTAACAGTGGCACTGGAAAAAAATCACCGAATGTGCTGCTGTAGCAAAAAAATTTTAACCGCCCATATAGCAAGGTAAATCAACAAGAACAAGGATCATGCCCTGTTTTATCCTGTTTTTGGATAGCCTATTAAGGGCAGGCCTATTCAAGTTACACTTACATTTGCTTGAAATAACAGGGCTTAAAATATCATACTAGATTCAAACTAAAATCATGTGTAATAATACCCACAATTCCGTTCCTTAACAACTCTATCGGGACTGACTGGAACCAAGTCCACATTGCTATGACAGCCATAAAGAAATCATCGTGTCAGTCAACTTAAGCTTTATTTAGTTGAATTTAGTTATTTTACTTAGTTTGCTGATTATGCTGTTATATAGTTACTTTACTGCGTTTATAATTTATTCATAGTAATTTAGTAGGTAGTTTTTATCAAGGAAGATAATTGGCAACAATTAATCCAAAGGTAAGTGCTAGTATATTACATTTTTAGCATGTTTATTTTAATGATAACTGTTTGTGAAGTCAGTTTGTTGTAATATTTTTTGTTTCAATTATAAAAATTAAAGGAACAAGCATCCCAGATAGCAGAGTATTTTTTGGCAAAGTTGCCGTTAGTTCGACGGGACAACGATTCTTCTGCAACTTTGTGTAAAGTTTTATTCATTTGCCGTGACAAACATTCTTCTCACTCGTGAAATCAAAGTCGTATTATTGCAACAGTTTGCCAACTCTTAGTTGCGCTTCGTTAGTTCAAGAGTTCGGCACTGAGAGTGCTGATTGTTTTGTTGAATGACGCCACCTTCGCCTGACACCATATTGAATACGGTTCCTGGTATAAATGTCTTTCCATCATTACCTCACCACTGTTACTGTTAATGTCAGTGCGGCGGAATAATAATATGTTTTTTGCAATCTTTCTTGCAACATTAGCTTGCAAATGAACGATCAACAGCTCTATTACGGTAAGTATTTAAAAATTTACTCTCATTTTACTGTTCATTTTTTACATCTCCTTGTTTCTCAACACTTCACACTTCCGAGAAAAATGAGAATAATTTAAAACCTTTGTTTAGTTTCTACACTTTTTTCCTTGAGTTAAAATATTAAAAACCAGGTCTCAGACTCGTTGGTAAGAATAGGATTTTAAGTTATATGTTCTGGGATAGGAGGCCTAGTTGACATTGAGTGTGTTGCGTTACATTACAGTGATGTGGTTAAGATAAAGTCTTGCATACTAGTATGTGCCAACACATTCAATAAATGCCCCCCAAAGCTTGAGTTTGTGTCTCTTTTTCCCGACTGTGATTCATCTAGTTAATTCAAAATTGTCCAGATAGATTATTTTAACTGTTGTCAAAAACTGATAAATGTTGTTTTCTTTCAGATGGCTCTGTTGTTCTCATTTCATTTTCTCCAATAATCTTAATGCCATGGTTATTCTGTGTCAGGTTTTTGAAAAAAAAATACTAAATTTATGAAATTTATGAAGAGCCTCAGTTTCGCTTCTCTTTTGGCATCTTTAAAGTGGACAATTTGTCACCTAATATTGTCATCAAAGAAGTCTCACTTTTTCCCATAATCTTGTCTTCCTTGCATTAGATCACCAGAAAATAGTTCTCCCTTACTGCACAGTGTAGTAGAAAAATTTGACAATGAAACTAAATATAATTTACCATTATAATTGGATAGCCTACTTTCATTTTTTAAATTCACTAATTCATTTTAATTCATTTTTTTAATCCATCAAATTATAAAAAATATTTTTAGCAGTCAAAGTTTATGATTTAAATAGTTTTCCAATCAATTTTCATTAAAACAGCACCCTTAAATAGTACCATACAATCAATTGTATAATAAATTTGTGTTCTGTAGATATCCAGCAAGTCGCAATATGCCGTTGTGGGATTCCCGGATGAAGATGATGTCTGTGTTATTATACCATTATCCTGGGCTAATATTGAAGAAGGATGGTGTTTCTATCCCAAAATCAAGAATGAGGAGGACGTGAAATACCACGTCAAAGCCCAAACCAGACCATCTGAAGACTGGGAAAAACGCAACATCCATCTCCTGCAAACATATGGTAAATATAACTTAATTTTTAAATGTTTTTGCCAAGATGTTTTTATTAGCGAATTTCCCATATAGGGAATAAGCTATTAGGCTACCGTAGGTTTCAAGGAAAGATCTGGATCCGGGACCGATTTACTTTTTCCTTTTGATGTCCCCAAAGGCCAAAAACACCATCTGTTCAAATTCATATATGTGTTCAAAAACACCATCTGTTCAAATTCATATACATATATACAGACTGTCCCAAAAGTCCCGGACCGGTTTAATTTGTTTCTAAACGACAACAGATAAATCAATAAGATTTTGCACATCAACACCACACCTGAAAATCTACTTTTTTAAGGAACTATCAATTTTCTGTCATATCATTGGGACTCCCGCAAGGAGTCAGAAGGAAATCTCGAATAGAAGCATAGGTTGACATGTACATCAAATTAAAGAACTTTACTCGCAGAATATAATGCCGCAAATTTGAACTCAAACGGATAACTGAGTAAAAAATGGTAGCCGTTCAAAGGTTTCTTGAATCTGCCATTTGGAATCTTTGAACGACTGTCATTGTTTACTCAGACGTTCTTTTGAGCTTGAATTTACGGCATTGTAATCTACTAGTGAAGACCTTTAATTTGATGTTCATATCGACCTATGCTTACGTTAACAATTTTCTTCCGATTCCTAGGGCTGTGCCCCCTGAGGAATAAGCATAAATAATAGCAATGCAAATTAAATGAATCTTTGTCGATTGTCCGTTTGAGTTCAAATTTGCGGCATTATATTCTGCTAGTAAAGACCTTTAATTTGATGTACATGTCAACCTATGCTTCTATTAAAGATTTTCTTCTGACTCCTTGCGGGACGTCCCCATGATGTGACAGAAAATTGATATTTCCTTAAAAAAGTAGATTTTTAGGTGTGGTGTTGATGTACCAAATATTATTTATTATTTATCTGTTGTCGTTTAGAAAATATTAAACCGGTCCGGGACTTTAGGGACAGTCTGTATAACATATGTATAGGCTATATAGATATACACACAGGGTGTTAAAAAATGCCAGGATTTGAATAATATCCAAAGAATTACCATTTAAAATCGCGGCATTCTTTTGTAAACACCCTGTATATGTGTCAGTTAGCATGATAACTCGAGCAAAAAAGGTCCGATTTTGATAAATATGTCGACCTATGTTTATTCGAACAAGTTTGCCCATGGGAACAGAGTTTTATGGGAGAATTTATGTGGTAAAAATTTGTATTTGTCATTTTAGACAGTAAAAAAATTGCCAATTTCTCCCTTGACCATTTTGAAGAGCTCAAAAACAAATAATAAGTATATTAAAGTGTTTTTGTATAAAGTTATTGGTTACAGAGAAAAAAAATTTTGTATGTTGAAGCTTTGTTGTATGCGTAACGGTTACGGAGATAATTAAAAAAAATTAAAATTATAATTCCCGTGTTATCTTATGGAGAGTAAGTAAACTGTGGTAGTCATGTTTATGGATATATTTTTATCAAACTTGTCAAATATATTTATTTTGATGTTTCAATAAATCTAGTCAACTTCAAACTTTTTTAGTATTTTGTATAACCAATGTGATGTACAGTACAGTAGAGTACAGTTATAATTGTCATAATTCTATACTAGAACTAGGACGTCCCACAGTCTCAGGATTGTGCGAGTTTATTTTAACTACGTAGAACAGTTTCCAAATGTAGCTGTTTCAACATATTACGGACGGCATTGCCTATTACCGATATGCCTAAGCATGTTAGGTACTCTACTTAAATATTGTTTTAAAGTAAAACATGTTGCTTATCCTATATTTGCTATATATATATTAAGTCACAGATCCATTTATTACAATTATTCTATTTCTTTTTATGGTCTTATCATTCCTTGACCTTAATACACATGAAATGTCCAAGACATCTGTGATTTTAGTATCCAAGATCTAACTACCTTGTATAATTTTTAGTGTGCTGTATTTGATGTACTAGACATGGTATTTTTGAAAAATCTTGTTGTCATTTAAAGTTTTGGGTTTTTTTTTCAGAGAAGTATTCCGATGCACGAACTGAATATAAGGAAGTAGAACTGTCAGTGAACTTAGAATCAGATTACGAAATGACAAGCAAGGCGAGGAAGAGAAAAGCAAGCTCAAGGCTTCAGTACCCTGGTGAAGATGGTGTTGGTACAGACATAAGTGATTCTGAAACAGAGGATTGTCAACCAAATAGAAAAGTTAAAAAAACACCGATCAACCCTAATCCTGTATTCACACCAACAATTTTTCCAGAAGAAAATTTAATTGAAAAATCTTCAAACCAAAATACGAAATTGCCTGTACCATCCACTGTTCTTTCATCCAAAAACAGAAACTGTGAAACAACAAAGGAAGTTACTAATTCTCTAGATCAAGGTAAAATATTCTAAATACAGATTATCACAAATTATGTCTGATAATAAACAAATATTGTCTTATAAACTGGTAATTCATTAACTTTGTAGCGTTAGAGTAAGCCTACGCGAGATATTGCTGTGAATGTGATTTAAACATTAGCTGTTATTCTTTTAAGTTAAGTTCATAGTCGACAGGTTTTTTTGGTGTTCAAATGAGGGTTTTTGTCTCAATCTTTTACAAAAATACCCCATCCGCAGCAGACCTGCGTACTCAGAGCATTACCTGCTCTTGACAATGTCATAAAATAAATGTATCCACATTCCACATTGTATATATGTTGCAAAATAGGAAATTATACAACATTAGGCCTACTCTATAACATTGGGTATTTAGTGATCAGGTTTGCTGCCATTTGGTACACTGAAAGTTGTTACTTTTCATATAACGATATATTTTCACTACATAAAGAGCTATACCATATCAGGTTTTATTGAAACTTGTTCAAATTCGTAAGTAAGGAGTTTGCTTTATCTCCTCTGATAAACTTGGGAGAGATGCGGAGCTGTGAACACTTAGGATATGTGTTTTTATCACAAATAATTATAAGTTGACCAGATAAAGCTGTATAAACCTTCCCCAACTGTATAATAATACTACAACATTTCATCTTGCCGTTGCCGCACAGAAGTATTATCTTTATTTGATAACTATTAGATAATTTCAGTAGGACTCTTTCAATAGTGTTATCCTAATGATATAGGGTTCACAAAGATTTATACTCTTGTGAGGAAGTCTTGATTATGTTTTTTAATTCACAGGTGGCATTGACAAAATGCTTCAAATTACGATGCAACTGCAGGCGGCTGTATTTCATAATGTGAGGCGACTTATTTCTATGGAAGAGAAATTAGACAGACTTTTGGCAAAGCCAACAAACAACCAGTGGAGTGAAAATAATGATGTTCATCCACATTTATTGGGCTTTCTGCCATTTCAGTCTATGGCTGATTTTGAGGCTACAGAGGCGAAATTAAAGGAATCTCCTTCCCTGAGGAACAAGTTTGTGAGTAAAATGAAATCGATGTATATAAAGCTGTATGCGATCAGACACACTACCATTAACCATTTACCATTTTGTAATGAAAGCATCAGAACTCCCTCAATATTATTTTTGGACTAGGATATCAATTGTCCCACTTGGGTTTGCCCTTGATTTGCATATGAAAATCTTGACTTGAGGCAGTTAAATATTTAAAAATAAATTTAAAACTTACATTTCCAGTATAAGTCTAATAAGTTCTCTAATAATTAATTACCAAAACTTTCAAACATTTAGTGTACTGTATCATAAAAATATAGATAAGAAGTATTTAAGTTAATGTGTTTAAAATATCCTGAGGTTAATTAAACATTCGAGCTATGAATAAAGATAGGCCTAAAACTACAGAGCACATAAAAATTCCTATTGTTCAAAGAGATGAACAATTTACCAATTTGTTGAGATATGCTTCCTTCTTATACCAAAATCTTTTTTGGGAAGCGAGCTGGTCTAGTGTTTAGAGCGCGGGACTCCGGTTCCTTGGGTCCCGAGTTCAAACCCTGCCAAATCACTAATGGATTTTATCTAAGTGATATTGCAGTAACCCCTAGGTGTAGCCTGAAGTAATGTGAAAAATAATCCCAGGCCCGTGCCTAGCGACCCAGGAAAAAAAAATCCCAAAATTTGTAAGTTGCAAAAGTCTAAAAAGGAAGCATAGTTTTGAGTTTCCTATTTATTGATTCAATATAATCGTTTACACAGCAGTATTTTAAATCTTTTTTATCCAATATTTAATAGGTCTAGAGTAAAATGTCCTTAACATAACAGTTGGGAAACGTAAAATTGTCACCATAATAGTGATAAATAAATGGTCACCATATGGAATTGCTTCATTTTACCTTATTTTTGGGTGAAAATATTTAAAAATCATTCTTTGTGCGCATAAGGCTGTTTTTGGGGAATCTACCATGCCGTATAAGCCTGGATTTTCAAGTTATTAAAGCAAAGTGTTTTATCCACATTTTTAACAATTTGTTTCAGGTCAAGCTATTTATGGGAGTTGGGGGACATGATATTAAGAATATGTCAATAAACATTATGAGAAGGACGTTGACAGACGAACTCGGTCAGAACTTCTCATTCACTGGGAAGAAAGGGTTCACAGATAAAATAGCTTTTGTGACTACCCAGTTATATTCTGTCATTCGGCGTAAGTACCGGTAACTTAAAAAAAAAATTGTTAAGTTACTTCCTAGGCATTTTTAACATTATTCTATTATAGTTTTTTTCTTTAAAATATCTAAAGCAGTTAATGAATGACAGCCTTAAAGAAGAATATGGTACGTTTGTTAGCAGTTTTGTTTAAGCGCTTTTGAATGCTATGATTTAAAATGGAAATCAAACACTGCCAGGAGAACCTTACAAGCTTCTCGTACTGCACTGAATTCTGGGCACTCAAACTAACCAAATTAGTGCAAAATTAGTTATATATTCACTGTCAATAATTTGTTGTTTTTACTTTTGTTTCAGTTGCAGTATGGAACTGGTATAAGGACAAATTTTGCGAAACTTCTTTGAAAAGACATATTTCAACTTGGCTGCAACAGTCCAAACACAGATTGATCCGAAGGTAAGGATTTTCCACTGTTTTACTTTTAAACTAAAATCTGGTTGCCTTCAGGGCCATGAAGACACCCACATGATAGTGTCATTGCCATGTAACTATCAGGGTGTGTGGTCAGCGCTCATCAATTTCTCTTTTGGCAAATTCCCTTATAGGGGAGTAGCTATTACTGTGGGTGGCACGGTAAGACCTAAAGCCTGACCGTTATTCTTTTTCATTTTGATGTACCTAGAGTAAAAACACTATTCCATCAAATTTTTAAATTTGCATATAGATTTATTTATATATACAGTATATATATATATATATCTATATATATACATCTGTGAATGTGAAAACTTGAGAAATTTTTGTCCGATTTTGATGACATTTAGTTTGAAGATGTAGGGCAGGATAAACTTGGATGAGTTTGCAAACCAGTATGATAAGATCATGAGAACGGCGTTTCGTGAGGGGTTTATGGGAGTAAAAATTGTTTTTTTTTAAATTTTTGACTCCTGAAATACAAAATTTCCCAATTTCTCTTTTACCCACTTTAAAGAGCTTAAAAAAACAAATTATTTAGTATATTGAAGTGTTTTTTTTACGGTTATTGGCTACGGAGAAAATAAAAAAAATAGTAAATTTTAAATTCCTATGTTATTTTTATGGAAAATTCAGTAGAACATCCGACCTCAGAATAACCAACTCCGCGGGATATCCGACCATGTACTTTTTTCCTGCCTGGGGCGATAATGCCAAGTGCGATCGGTTAAATGAATCTCCGATGTTGCCGCCGTTGAGAGAGATGATTAATGAAGTTACGGACACTGCAAGTTACGCTTCTCCCAATATGGCCTTTCTGACCATGGCCCGGTTTGTCATGGTCGGATATGAGGGGTTCTACTGTATTGTAAAATGTTGTAGTATACTTGTTTATGGATATATTTTGATCAAACTTTGGCAAATTTATTTATTTGATAACAAGTCATTAATATTTTACCAAATAACACTCTTTATTATCCACCCTGTAACAGCAAACCTAGGTACTGTACTTGTTAAAACTAATGTTATTTTAAATCGATTTGATTGAAAATCCAATCCGGAAAATATAAATTCGCTTAGTCTGCAGGTTTGCTGCAGTGGGGGTATTTCTACACTCATTAATCACTCTCTAGAAATTACTAAAAATGTCTAATCACATTTACAGCGTTCCTTACATCATGTAATATTTTAATGACCTTGTTTTTTAGATCTATGCTGCTTTTTTGTGAGTATCGCAAAAATTGTATTTTTTTACTCTTAGCCTAAAAAAATAGTCTGAAGATTAAAATCTCATCACAGGTATACACGTGCATACAATGTTTTATAAGAACTAAAACAGTGTATTGTGTAATTTGGGTATTTTAATGTTATACTGTTTGTATTCTTTTCAGGACCGAAAGGAGAAATCTGACGGAAAGTAGAGAATCAAACCAGGAAGGTTTCCCATCCAATGATGAGGATCAGCCTGGAGTAAGCTGCAACTAATTTAAAGCTGTCATAAGGATCAGCCTGGAGTAAGCTGCAACTAATTTAAAACTGTCATAAATATCACCAGTTGGATATAGGCCTAGTATGTGATTAACCCTAGGACTGCCCTGACCTGATTTATGCTCGGTGCACTGGCAATTTAGGCTATTTTGCAGGTTTTTTTTTAACAGTTCACAGTGCCTAAAGTACTGTTGATAACCTGGTCATATTCATACTTGTTTAGTTCAGAAAAGAAAGGAGATTACGAACAAAATCCCTGTTGGTGGTTTTTTTTTGCAAAATGTGAAAAAAATTAAAAAAATTAAAAATATTTGGAATAATTTTCAAAAGCAGAGGCCTAGCATTTTTACAAAATTTTTTTAAAGACAATCTAAGATATATGAAATGTAGGCAATTAATTTCCTTAAGAGGAAATGTTATTGATGTTTCAAATAATTTTTTTACCGGAATTATGGGGGAAAATATGGAAATTGGGGAAATTCAACAAATTTGCGCCCAACATTTTAAACATAAAAATATAATCAGAAGTATACAATTTATACTCAAAAATTTTACACGCGCAAAATATTGTTCAAATTATAATAGCATTTATATTGATCTGTTAGTGCTACGAGGTTCGTTTATGTATGAAAATAAGAGTTTGGAATCTCTTCTTTCCAACGGTATCAAAATTATTACGCTTCTGGATCATTTTCATTGCGTAATAAGCGTTTGAAAAAAAAATTTCTGAACCGCCGACCGGTTGGGCACCGAGTGCACACGTCAAACCGCCAACTCAGTCGGCGGAAGGCAGTCCTAGGGTTAATGTTACCAATTTTGTCATGTATAAAAAAAGGAAGGTGTGTGCATAAGGTGCAAACCATTCTTTTGCTGTCCGCTGAACTGTCAGTTTTGTTTTTTTATATATTGTTTTAATAACCAAAAATGTTTTTAATTTGCTTTAAGTTACTTGAACTCTGTCCTTCTTGTAGGTACATTTTATGGTAAAATGCAATATTAATCCAATTATTTGTATCACAGTAGCAAATCATAGCAATGTTTTGTCTCAATAACCTGAGAATTCCATATTGTTTTATTTCTTAGGTACTTTTGATGTGCCAACCTAATCTGACACACACTTTCTCCCATTAGCTTGTCATCAACCTTTATCATAGGTGGGAGTAACTATGATATTTTACAGGGAAAATCACAAAAAGTTGCAACAGATTTTTGAACAGTAACTTTACAGCAATGGGGGGTTAGCACTATTTTGTTTAAAACTATCATAATCAATTTTCTTGACCTAAACTGATACTTTCTTGGCCTTCAAATTTTGACGAGAACACTATTTTGTCCATGAACATTATACCCGTGATGGTAAAAAAGAAATGAATTCACTACTTTAACAATTATATGAAAAATATTGCCTTTTCTCATAGTGAGAAATGAATTTTCTAGAACTAGAACTTGTAGCACTTGCGTGTGAGCCCAATTACGTTATATCAGCTAACTATGTTATACTACAACACATCCATTTCTTTATCCCATTTTTCTTTAAACTTTTTTTATGAGCCTGATTTTTTTACATTTTATATTTACATTAGATTGTAGTCCAATCAAATTTTGTATTTAAAAGATTTTGTCTTGTATAAAATATTCCTGTACTTTTGTTGAATAAATATAGCATATTAAACATAATTCTTCCTTCATTTATCCATTCCTAATATTTTACTTTACAATATTTTATAGTGGCATGTTTTCTCAGAAATTTGTCACGAGTTTGTGGCAAAACTTTATGGTAATTTTACCTGACAATTTTCAGTAGCTTTGCAATGACAACTTTGTGGCAAAGTATTAAAATTGTAATCGGAAATATTCAAAACGTTGCTGTAAGTTGCTCTCTAGGATGTAAGTTTTAGGTTACGTCAGATTGGCCAGATTAAAAGAGTTTGTAACGAGGTCTAATCCAGCCCGGATTTGATAGTGTTATCAACGTTGTATCCAACCAAACAATTAATATTATGTATAGGTCCTAAAGCAAAGATATTTAAATGTAGCCTATGAGGTTGAGGTCGGACAAAGGCCTAGCTTCTTTCATTGAAAGGCTTTAATTGTAACATCAATATGACAGAACTAGGCTAGGCCTATTCTACATATTACTGATAGTATTAGTATCTAGGGATTTTTTCTTAATACAGGTTAATATTATCTTTAAATATTAGTGACAAAATATCAGATATGTGTATCAGATAAATACAGAAGAGTATCCAACTTTCAGATTTGAGTTTCTGCTGTGAATATGCTACAAAATCACATTTCCCCTCCGTATTTCCTAACTTGGGTCTACAATACATTCATTTGACATAATCACCAGGGATCCACATGTTTTATCTTTAGTTTTTTTTTTTCTAAGCCAGTAGCATTTTAAGTCGAGTCAAAGTTTGTTTGAGTTTAAACGCTTTTAAGGGAAAGCGCTCCAAACCCATTAAAGTTAAGTGGATGTGCTGGGAATTCCGAGACGCTAGCCAGCCACTAGGCTAGCAAAGCACCCAACGGTGCTGATTTTTACGCTCTTCATAGTGGTTTTAAAATTTTAACTTTGATTTAAGATTTGAGACTTGATTTCTATGTTTTGGATCTGAAATTTATTATTCCTGGATTTTCACTAATGACTGGTGAAGTAAGTGTGTCAACTCAAAAACCAAGATCAGATCATAAATAGTCGATGTATAAGAATCAAGACATTTATGCATGTACGTACTATGCAAAACATATGCATTTTCTCATTTTGTATGCTATCATTATAGAATGCCGTACTTTATTTCACCATTATTTAATTTATCTTTTACATTTTGCTATTTATTTGGTTACCACTTAAAGAAAATAGCAAATACAACCAATTTCAGCATTCCAACCATTTAAAAAACTAAAAACTAGTTATATGTTTTTTACTTGTATGGAATGTTTATTATTATTATTGTATGGAAGATTTATTGCAGACATTATCAATCACAATTATAAAATACAATATTCAATGTTTTGGGATCTGAAATCTGATTACAACGAACAATAAAATTAATACTCAAAACCCAACGTAAGTCGTCTTCATGAGGGAAAATCACTTAAGTGTCTTCAAAGTACTTTTCCAACAGATCTTCGGTTTAAGCCGAGGTGAAGCCAAAGCTTTTCGCTCAAACTCCTCCGCTAAGGCTTTATAATGTCATAAGGACGTTATGACATTATATATATAGACATTATAATGTCTAACGTTATGACGTTAGACAATTCCCTACAGAGAGAATCGCCGTAAGCTAATTATCGGTCTGAGTCAACATTAGGCTTAAAGATTTTAGTTAACTTGTATAACTAGTGTACCTGTTGCTCGAATTCGAGCAATTGCTAAGTATTACAGGGTTTATTTTAAAACGAATAACAGTCATAATTTCTGATGACTTTAAGATTCGACTTAAAGATTATGGAAATACTCAAGATGTACATAACAGATCGATATAATCAACATTTCTTGTAAACATCTTTTTTTAAAGCTGATCTTGTTTTTTAACGATAATAAATTAAACAAAAAAATATTTTCTATTTCTTCTCCTTGGTGGTGTTCTATGACTTTCCTATGTTTCCATAGTTTGCAAATCGGCTCTATCAATGATTACTAAGATATGCAGCACAGCGTTAATTCAGTTTCCTTTTTAGTACATCAAATTATCCAGGCTCTCCCGCTTTTTCCATTGTAATATTTACACCAACCCAAATACAACTAGTAATTTCAACAAAGTCAGTAAATGTTTGTAGCAAACTGTTAAATTAGTAAACTTACTGACTGTTTACAATTAACATATGTTCTTCTTCTCATTTTTTATTTCTGACAACAGCTGGAGTTTCATAACAGTGATTGTTTACCATGTTAATCTTAAGGAGAAATACAAAACTTTAAAGGGTCCCAGGGCCTCACTCTCTCATTATTTCCCTAAAAATAAAGTTTCCTGCACAACTTCACGTTACGCTCTTTCCAATGACACCAAAAACATGTCAATCGGTTAAGTAGTTTCGGAGGAGTAATTGTCACAAAAATCCTGCTTGCGTATTAAATAAGTATAGATGTACATGTGTGGAATTTTGGAATGATGTGGTGTTAAACAAGTCCTTAGTAGGTAACAACTTTTGTGATTTTTATGTTCAAGCATTAGAGTATTAGCTGTTTTATGTTCAAAAGTTTCTGTGGGGTCTTTCTTCAATTGGGTGTATTTGCCGGATTGTAGGGTTCCTAACTTTTTTTCATCGTATGTCACTGTATCAAGATCCACTGCGGTCCCTTTATCCACAGGCAAAATCTTTGCCTTTGCCTTCCTATATATTATTTTCTACTTTCTTACATATCTAGATTTGTTGTGTTTTGTGATTGGTTATATTTTGTATTTTGTATCTTGACTGTTATGCAGTGTATATACTTGACAGCTACTCTCTGTAGTGTATTCAAACTTAGGTTGGGTATTGTGTATTGTTAGTTGTAATGTGTTAGTTAAGTTTTTTTTTTTACCTGAGGATGGGATCAGTTTTCAGATCCCAAAACGTTGTGTTGCATTTTACCATTGTGATGGAAAATGTCCGCAAACATTTAAATAACATAAACTCTTTACAGTATCACCAAGTAAAGAACTTCAAAGAGGAATTGATTAGAATATTTTAATAATCTTTTAATTTTGTTTTATTCTTCTTTCTTTCAAAATTGGTTTATTCAAATTTATTTGTCCTCTTAAAACATGGAAACACCTAATTTTTATTAGATCCATGCTCTAGAGCTAAAAAAACAATTCTGTTCATTGAAGCATTGTTGTACAACTAAAACATCATAACATTCATACACACATTATTACAAATATTGTAATATCTTGGACGTTTAATTATTGATCTTTACAATCAAAACATCGTTGAAATCAACTAATTTTCAAGATATAGGATAAAAAGATTTAATATGGTCCCCATTTTGAATTCTTTGAATTTAGAAATCTGGTACTTAGTACAACGGTTTGTCCTATATGTTTGCACTAAGTTTGAAGTGAATCGCTTAAGGAGCTTAAAAGTTATGGATACATTTGTTTAAATCACACAGTGACAGAAAAACAGGCATTTTAGACCCATGTTTATCTGATTTTTTAAAATTGTTTCAACTTGGAATAAATACACAAAAGCATTTTAGAGAGTTTGTGTACCCCTATAATGTCAAAAACGCTTTTAACATGCTTTTAATGGACAAAATATCCCATTACTCACGTACTAAAACCTAAACACAATTGTTTTTTACTTTTTTCTTGGATTCAAAATGATTTAAATTACGATCCTTTTTGGCTGTCTACGATACAATTTTCCTTTACTGTGATGAGGGTGAACTTGAGTTTATTTTTTTTCAGATGACAAATGATTATGCCATTTGTAAGTTACATGGAGATGGTGATGAAATTGTTAACATATGTTCAAAATGGCTGGTGGACGAGAGTAATACATGGTACCCTCCAAAAAGTTATTACCCTTTCCTGAAAAGGTTGCTGAAGAGGAAGTCAACACCAAGTGATACATGGGTCCAATATCCAGTGACAGTGATTTCATACCATGGTAGGTAACTCTGTTAGGTTAAACGTTTGACTTCTAATACAACCTTCTGTATCCAATAGTCAATGGTTAAACGTTTTGAAATTGGCCCAGTATTTAATACTTTTGGATTTTCTAGACATTTTTAATTTAGTTTTTTCTGGTTTTATAAGTCACTTTATCTCATGTCTACGAACGGTACAGCAAGGCAAAAGTGTGATGTAGATCAGTGACGTAATTTTTTGTTAACCTGTAGTTTCCTCTAATGGAGACTAGGCCCTATTTTATTTTTTTACTCTGAAAACCTAATAGTAAAAAAACCGGTTAAGTAATTTTGTAACACACTTTCAATGACATATTTGTTTTTCATACTGTCATAGGTAATTTAATAAGTGAATACATTTCACAGGTACTTTCGAGCAAGCAGAGGAAAAGCTGAGAGAAGCCTACGACATCTCCAATTCGGGGGGAACGACCAATTCAAGGAATGCGGGGAAGAGAAAACATCTCTCGACGGTGTTTCATTTTCCATTTGGTGGCAGCTCTTCAGGAGAGGAAAATAATCCCCCTCCAGTGAAAAAGAGCATGAACACCAGCAGTGGATATACACCTAGGCCTTCTCTCGACTGTCCGCCACTATCTCCTGCAACACCCATCAACAGTCCAGTTCACACCAGCCAATCCCCTAACAACCTACCCCCGGTCAACTCTATTTTTGAATCCAATACGCAAGAAAACGGCAACCAACTACTACAGTGTCCATCACAAGGTGGGTTTGTGTTAGTGAATTTCCCATATAGGGAATAAGCTATTACCGTAGGTCTCATGGTAAGACCTGGACCCGGGACCGATTTACATTTCCGTTTTGAGGTCCCTAGAGGCCAAAAACACCACCCGTTCGAATTCATATATATATATATATATACAAAATTAAAAGCATAGTTAACAAATATATATATGCGTCCGTTAGCACGATAACTCAAACAAAAATTATCCGATTTTAATGAAATTTGGTACTAAGCGTGTAAACCTACACATTTATTCGAACGAGTTCG